GCCTTTTCTTTTTCTTTTTTTTCCCTTACTCCAGTGGCTAGTAGATGTTTGCCAGCAAATTGCATGAGTCTGGTTTTGGGAGAAGCTTTGATCTCTTTTCCCATTTTGCATCAAAGCAGAACTAGTAGAGAGTACAGGAATCCACAGCCAGCCATCTCTCTTTCAGTTTACTTTTGAAGTATATGTTAGTTGTGTTCATACTTTACTTACTGTGTGGGTACCATATGTCACTTACATTGTAGCAGCAGTACGGTCAACCCTCGACTTACGAACTTAATCCATTCCGGAACAGCGTTCGTAAGTTGAAATTTTGTAAGTCGATTTCCCATAGGAATGCATTGAAACCCCGTTAATCCATTCTGACCAAATAAAAAATACTAAATAAATAAATAAATAAAATGCACCAAACACTGCAAGCTCCTGGGCCTGCAAGAAACAATCCCACCAGCCCAATCCCACCCTGCAAAAAAAAAAAATTAAAAGGTTTTCTGGCGAGCGAGCTTCACTCAGTTCCCCGGCTTCCCCGCTGCCTTTCTCCGCCGCTGTTGCTGGGCCTGGACCTCCGTCGCTGTTACCGGGGCTGCTCCCGAGTGTGGAGGGGGGGAGAAAGGCTGTATTGCCTTTCTTTCCCGCCCCACGGCTTCTCCCGAAGGGCTGCTCCCAATGGCTTTTGCGGCAGCAAAGAAGCCGCGTTGGGAGGCGGAAAGAAAGCCATTCTGCAAAGCCATCAGGAGCAGCCCTTCGGGAGAAGCCGCAAGGCAGGAGAGAGGCAATCGGCACCTTCAGAGCTCTCAAAGGGCTTCCTCCGATGTTGGGGGGAAAGCCCTTTGAAAGCTTCGAAGGCAAAAGGGCTTCCTCCCATGTCGGGCATAAAGCCCTTTGAGACCTCTGAAGGGGGAAAGGGCTGGAAATTCGAATTTCCAGCCCTTACTCCCTGCCTTTTTGCCTTCGGAGGTCTCAAAGGGCTTCCTCCCACGTCGGGCAGAAAGCCCTTTGAGACCTCCGAAGGCGACGAATGGCTACGTTCACAAAAAATGGCATTGACCCGTTCATAGGTCGAGGCTCCATTTGCAAGTCGATACCAATTTTTGCCAACGGAGCCGTTTGTAAATCGAAAAGTTTATATGTGGGGCCGTTCGTAAGTTGAGGGTTAACTGTACATGATTTAGAGGGCTTTCTGTTTTTGACAGCATTTGGAAATGTGAGTACACTGTGGTAAAATGTGACATTTGAGCACGTGTTTAGATAGTTACTATTTCTCTTGTAGGTACGATACTTGGATGAAGAGAGACCATTTGCAATTGAACAGATTACAGGCATGTTATTGGTTAAGCTTAAAGAGACATCGGAAAGTGCACTTAAGAAACCTGTAGCAGATTGTGTTATTTCAGTAAGTTGACTTTATGACATTTACATAGGTTTACATTACTATATATAGTGGGGAAGTATAGAAAGCTGTTGTTGCATTGCTTTGCTGCTCAGAATATTCATAGTTTTGATTCCCTGAGATTTCAGGTGCTTACTGAAATGTGTACACAGAAATCCTTCTGTGTTGTATGTACAACTGATGTTTGTAAAGTCTTCTGAGAGAGAAACAAAATTAATGATTGCTCTGCTTAGCTTACTGAGTTCTCTTTAGATTAGGAAGCTAAAGGAAGGGACCATAGTTCAGTGTTGAACAAGATGCATTGCATGAGAAAGGTCTCAGTTTCAATCACAGACATATCCATATAAAAAGATCAAGGAACAAGAGATTTGCCACAGAGTTGTTGCCAGTCAGTGTAGGTAATACTAGGTTAGATAGATGAACTGGCTGATTTAGCGTAATGTAACATCCTGTTTCCTATGGGGAAGAAGGTTCCAATACCTATCACTCAACTTCAGTTCAGATTTAGTTCCCAAATGAAACTAGAAATCTTCCCTCTCTCTGCTTGGGACTCATGCTTGTGTTGTTTCTTTTGCTATTGTGTGCTGCTCTGGTGATAACAAATACCATCTCTGTTTTGTCTGAGTTTTGCCCTGTACAAATAATGACAGGAGTCAAGTTATAATGACCATACGTAAAGATTTTTTTGTTTGCCCCATCTTTCAACCATTGAAAAACTTTTACACTGGCTTATAAATGATCAAGGGGGGAAAGACAGTGTCTTTAGGATTGCAGTCTAAAAAGTAGATACACAGCAAGGAAATGGATTGGGAGAGAGGAGGAATTAAATGTTTCAAACTGCACTAATGTAGTGGCCCAAAGAACTCCTGCTCCTTCAAATGATTGGCTATGTTCTTTATTATTTATAAAGAACATAGCCATAGCCAGCATACATATCCATAGAACTGCATTCCAGACATTTCCTGATGTTACTTAACCTGTTGCTCCTTAAAACTCAATTTTATATTCTTAACTCTAAGGATAAGCAACAGAAGTAACAGCATATTCCTTCAGTTTACCTATGCTTTTGTTCCCTCTGTTCTCTGTGTCAGATTAAGATTATAAGAATGTTGTAATTAGTTTCACCCATTGATGACACTGTGTAAATAAGTGTAAATCTAGTGGGATACACTAGCCAAAGAACCATTTGTATTAGAGGAATCAGTTGATGCTATCCTCTAAAGTTGGTTTTGAGTGGTATCAGATGAGCTAGAAGACAGGGGATGGTGTTCTGATGTTGCATTGCCAGCACATTATTGGACATTTGCCTTAAGGTGCTTTAAATCGATACAACAAATTAAAAGTTAGTAAATATATTGATTTAAGGATTGATGCCAAACCAGAATGTGAATTGGACTATTACACTGAAATACTATTGGGTAATAAATTTAAATATGCTTAAATTGAATATTTTAGTTTTTGACTCTTTCCAGTAACTTGTATGGAACTTCTGTGCCTTCTGTTTAATTCATTAGCAAAAAAACATTGAAGCTAATGTAATAGGAAAACTTTTTTACCCCAACAGATCCCAAGTTTCTTTACTGATACTGAGAGAAGGTCTGTAATGGCAGCTGCACAAGTAGCGGGTTTAAACTGCCTGAGGCTGATGAATGAAACTACAGCAGGTATACTTATGACTTCAAAAACTACAATATAAAATGTATCTTTGTTGAGAATCACATTTATACAAGATTAGTAAAATGACATAATGACAAATGACATAATGGTAAAATTATGCACTACTCCATGTCTCAGTTTTAAGGCAATCTACTCACAAACAATTTACTGTATAGTAGAGGTGGTTTCTTCTAAAACGTGAGTATGTATACTATGAGAGATGGCCAATAGCATATATCCAGTGAAGAAAAAAGTCCTGTCAAGTGAATGTAGGCAATTCCCTTGCCTATACAGCTGATGCACACTTTCAGTATCTGTCTCAGATGGTTGGAAAACCCTCCAGAGCAGAGTTTTGGATGGTGCTGACCAGAAGAAAAGAAGGAGAATGTTCTGCTGCTTTTGTGTAAGTCTTGTATGGGGTGCAGAATTGTTTCATTCTGGATCAGTTGACAGAACTATTATCTATAGATGTTACATAGGTAGGTCTGGCAAGCTTACATATGTGTGCTCTGAAATAGATTGTTTTATTTTCATTAGGACTTAATCCCCAGGTAATTGTGTAAATTATTGTAAGTCATGGACAAGATTGAAGTGGCTCTTTGGATTCTTAGACTAATAAGAACAGTGATGTCATTAATACCATTAGCAACAGCAACAACAATGGGAAAGGAATGAATTTCAAATGTAATTGTTTATGTGTATTAATCATGGCCAAGATACTTCTGTATCTGACATCAGTGGAACTGTGACATCATGGTTCTTTCCTTTCCCTCTTTAGCCTCCATAGTGCCCCCCCTCTCCAAAGCTGCTTCAGAGCATGGTTTCAAGGCATGTTTTAAGGGTCTGGGGGCTGTCTGTCCCAGTACAAACAGTGGGATCTGGTAGAACTACACCATCAGATTCTCATCATGTTCACAGTTGCATTCTATATCATATGGAATAAATGCAGTGCTCATCTCTGTTTCCAACCCATAGAGCTAGCATTTGTCCGCAGACAATCCTCTGTGGTCACGTGGCCAGCGTGTCTAGACACAGAACGCCATTTACCTTCCCACCGAGGTGGTACCTATTTATCTACTCACATTTTGCTGGCTTTTGAACCACTAGGTTGGCGGGAGCTGTGACAAGCGACGGGAGCTCACTCCGTCGCATGGATTTGATACGACTGCCTGTCTTCTGAATTTGCAGCACAGAGGCTTTAGCAGTTTAACCCGCAGCGCCACCACATTATGAGACAAGGACCTATTTTTAAATGTTTCACTAAATGTTATGTACTTTTTCAGTTGCTTTGGCCTATGGAATTTATAAACAGGATCTTCCAGCCCCAGAGGAGAGACCAAGGAATGTGGTTTTTGTAGATCTGGGACACTCTTCATACCAGGTTTCTGTTTGTGCTTTTAACAAAGGAAAACTAAAGGTAAATATTTTGATTAGCATGTAATTAAGAAGGGGAAAGTATCTTGGGGAATTCTTACAATTACTGAGGAAGAATACACATGCTATAATAAATCAGAAAACAGTGATTTGTATATGCACAGAAGTGCTTAGTATACGTAACAGTTCCTTCTGGTTTTTTTCCTGTCAGTTATTTTTTAATTGCATGTAAGCAAATAGGGCCTTTCCTGGTACTTTGTGTTTATTCTTGGATGCTTTGTTATGTTGTAAATGAGAAGTCATTTCATAATGAAGCCAGTGCTAGCTGTATTTTTTCTAAAACATTTCCATATTTTTGGTATCCTGAACATCATCATGCGCATCTTCTTAAGCAATCAAAAATAACTGTACAGCATTGTTAGGATTCAGAACGGAAATATGCAACTATCATTCAGTGGGGAGACATTAAAATAAAGTATGTGATTTAATACACAATTTAGCCTTTTCTTAGAAAGGTGTCTCTAAAAAGCTATGGTAAAATATTTAGGCATTTGAAACTATTGTGTTTGAGGCTCAGCAGCAAGCAGCTTTAAAGTTTAACTTATCTTCTGAAAGATGACATATAAATCTTAAGATGAACCTTCACCAGGATATCAATTTATTATCTAGAAAGTTGATGCTTCATAATTACCAAATTCTGAACTATCTGTAAAATCGATATCAAGAACATAGTGGATGCAGTAGATGTTTATTTTAGTTTTTTCACTGAAAAATGGAAAAATGTCTAATGCTCTTGAAACCACTAAGAAATGTTGTACATGATTCATCAGAACTTTTAAGAAGACAACTGAAAAAGAAACAATAATCGGTACTGTTTCTTCATCTCTTCATACAAAATGTTAGGTGTAAAAAATTACAAGAAAGTTGTAAGGAATTAGCTATCAGGTCTTTTGTGAGGGGTTTGCTGCAGCAAGTAAGTATCTTTAGGAAATTCTGTATTGTATTGAATAAACAGTGCTCAGGATAATGATCCACAACAGCAGTGGGCAGTTTTACAGAATTGAACCGATTTCCTGCCCAGCTCCAAAGGGCTACACCACTCCTAACTCGCTCTTTCAATTTCAAATAAGCCTGTTTTCATTCAAAAGAGATGCTGAAAAATCTGTGATGTGATTTGAAGGTAAATCGTGCCTCCTGGAGGCTTCTGAGATCATAATACTTTACTTTAAATAAAAAACTTAGCAGGAACTTTAAGACCTCAAAGAACAGGTGATGAGGCCTCATGCAGCATGTATTATCCACTCAATACAGACAAGTACTATAATTTATATTATAACTCCATGTTCTTTATTGTCATGTTGCATCTTTAATTTCACAGGTGTTAGCTACTGCATTTGACCCTTTTTTGGGTGGCCGAAACTTTGATGAGGCTTTGGTAGATTACTTCTGTGAAGAGTTTCGAACTAAGTATAAACTGAATGTGAAGGACAATGCTCGAGCTCTTCTGCGCTTATATCAAGAGTGTGAAAAACTGAAGAAGCTCATGAGTGCTAATGCATCTGATCTCCCCATGAACATAGAATGCTTCATGAATGATATTGATGTGTCAAGTAAAATGAACAGGTATTGAGTTTCACCTTGTAGAGCTTTAAATAAAGTTGTGCTCATTTCTGCCTGTAGTTCATAACTCTTAATGAATTTTCCCTCTTTGAATAGGGCTCAGTTTGAACAGTTGTGTGCATCTCTTCTGGGCAGAGTGGAACCTCCTTTGCGAGCAATGATGGATCAAGCTAGTAAGTAAAAGCTGCCTTGACTTGAGTACTTTATTTTAATATTAGTAGCCAGATTACTAGTGGGGGGCAGGAGTGTGTGCAAGAGCAGTCACATAGTGGGTTTTTCCTTCCATTACACAACCAATCACAGAACAGGGTACACAGCTGCTTTTCTGAACCGAGGAAGCAGAGGCACATGATGGCTGGGTAGGTGGCAGTGCAGGTAGGCTCTCTTATGCAGTTGCCTAGTTATTCTGTGCAGATTCAGAAGGATCCTGACTACAGTATATGTTTTTGCTTGCCTCTAGGCAGTGTCTACTTCATTAAGAATTGGTAAAGTTTCTTTAATAAACCGGATTGTTTATTAACACAGCCCTACCTGTCCATTTTTCTAACTCAACAAAACCCTATCTGGCAGTTAAACTACTTATGCTTGAGTTCTAAATCTTCCTCTCCTACCTAATTGGTTGTTGCTTAGCCCTAAAATAACTGGCTAAGAAACTTTTTAGGAAACTGTTCCAATTACGTACCTGTCACAAAGGATATCTTCAGTTTGTCTCTTGACAGCTGGGTGACATGTATTGTACAACCACTGTACTTGACAGAAGTGTGGAAAAGAGCATGAAACTGATTTGCTGTTTTCTAGTAAAGTTAACAGGGCTTTTGGTGACCTTGGATGATCCTCTGAGAAGTGCTGGGATCTGACTGATGAGCCTTTATCTACATGATGGATTATTACCTCAATTTTGCCTCACTGTATACGCAAAATTGATGCCTTTGAATTGTGGTGCTGGAGGAGGCTCTTGAGCGTCCCCTCCACTGCAAGGAGTACAAACCTATCAATTCTAAAGGAAATCAACCCTGAGTGCTCACTGGAAGGACAGATCCTGAAGCTGAGGCTCCAATACTTTGGCCATCTCATGAGAAGAGAGGACTCCCTGGAAAAGACCTTAATGTTGGGAAAGTGTGAAGGCAAGAGGAGAAGGGGACGACAGAGGATGAGATGGTTGGACAGTGTCACCGAAGCAATCAACATGAATCTGCCCCAACTCCGGGAGGCAGTGGAAGATAGGAGGGCCCGGCGTGCTCTGGTCCATGGGGTCACGAAGAGTCGAACACGACTAAACGACTAAACGAACGATACGCAAAAGGAAATGGAGACTTCTGTGTTTATGAATTTTGGATATCTTTTTAAAAATCATGAAGTGAGAAAAGAGGAGAGCTCTAGCAGCATACAAAGCCTGTCCTAGTGAGTACAACTTGCAGGCTCTTCGAGGTGCTCGTAGCAAAGTCCAGCAGGCTGCCAGGAGATGTTCTAACGATTATTGGCTTCAGTTCTGCTCTCAGGTACAGATAGCAGCAGACACAGGTAATATCAAGGGAATGTATGACGATATCAAGCAGGCTTTAGGTCCAATACAGAAGAAATCTGCTCCTTTAAAATTTGCTACAGGCGTGATCATACAAGACCGAGCACAGCGGATGGAACACTGGATGTAGCACTACTCTGAGTTATATTCCAGAGAGAATGTAGTAACTGAAGAGGTATTAAATAACATTGCCTGCCTATCTTGGAAGAGTTGGACAGTGAACCAACTTTAGCAGAAATAAAAGTGATGTCTACATTGGTTCTAGCATGTCATGAGACTGGCCGATGGTCGGATTTCAAAAGATCTCCTGTATGGAGAATTATTGCAGGGAAAGTGTCCCCGAGGGAGACCACAGCTGTGATACAAGGATATCTGCAAGTGGGATCTGAAGGCCTAAGAATGGACCTCAACAGATTGGAAACCTTGACATCTGCGGGTTCAATCTGGAGGCAGCCTCTCCTAATTTGAAGACACACTTGTCCAGCACGCCAAGGCAAAGAGGCAGTTCTGAAACCAGCAAAATCGGGGAGCTGAATGGGGCAGATTATATTTGTCTCCAGGGTGGAAAGGACTGTCACTCTCAAATTGGCCTTTTCAGCCACACTAGATCTTGTTCCCTCTATTCAGAGCATGTTACCATAGTCTCTCAAGACTGAAGGATGCCTAATCTAGTCAAGGCACACTCAGAGTGGAAATCACCCATCTCTTGATTGGTACAGACCGTTGCTGTTCCTTTTCCTTGCCTACACTCTCTCTGTTTCTGTAAGATAATGTGGGGCATGATAAATAGTAACTGCCACTATTCATAACCATCAATATGCCTGCTGATCATCTTACTCTCTAGCTGTCTAAAATGTGACTAGCCATTTGCCCTTTTGATTACTCCTTTTCCCCTTCTGAAATGTTGATTGAAGTGAAACAAATCTAGAGGGAGAAACTAGTGGTTTTTTGTTTGTTTGTTTTGGAGTCATCTTAGTGCTCCTCACTGTCAATATTGCCCTGCCTCTTGGCAGCATTCCTCACTGCAACTGTAGACTGTTAGAGTATGAGTCCCAGCAGATGATGTGCTTGTCTGTACTGTGTTTCTACTTTCTCACTGAATGTCATAGCCTGATAGTCTTGCCTAGCCTAAATTTCAAGTTTAACTTCAGGACCAAACATAGGTAGCATATCTAGTTCTTTGAACATGAATTGGTTCAGTCATGCTAAAAGTAGGACTCCAAATTTAACAGTGACCGGGATAAACTGTTGAGTAGTACACAATATTGTCCCACCCTCACTATTCCTTTTCAAATTCCATTTTCTTCCAGACACATACATATTTAGTGTCAGAAAGCATATTACGTTTTTCACACCTGTGAAACAAATTGTCTGTTTTCCTCCTAGAACTCCAGCGTGAAGATATATATAGTATCGAAATAGTAGGTGGAGCTACTCGAATCCCAGCAGTGAAGGAGCAAATTTGTAAATTCTTCTGTAAAGATATAAGTACCACACTAAATGCAGATGAAGCTGTTGCAAGAGGTTGTGCGTTGCAGGTAAATTTTTGATACTGTATTAGTCAGCGGTATTAGTCATTGTTCCCAAAAGTTATAATTTGGGCTGTTTTAATATGGTTTTTATGTCAATGACTGATTATAGCAGACTCTTCCACTGGTGTTGTTATTACTATGTGAAATTCAAATTTAATCGGCTACTACTTTGTAGGATAAACCAGACATAGATCAAATATGTATCAATCACATCTCATTGTGATAATCTTATTTCTTTTGTAGTGTGCAATTCTTTCTCCAGCCTTTAAAGTCCGTGAATTTTCCATCACAGATGTTGTTCCTTATTCAATTACTCTGAGGTGGCAGTCATCTTATGAGGAAGGAACAGGGTAAGAGTTGGATGATAAGGGGCACACGAGACCATCAAGTAGATACGTAATATGTTGAAATATCAGTAAATATGTGCTTTAGACCAGTGGTTCTTAACTTTTGTTACTCAGATGTTTTTGGACTGCAACTCCCAGAATCCTTCACCATCAGCTGTGCTGGCTGGGGTTTCTGGGCGTTGCAGTTCAAAAACACCTGAGTAACAAAGGTTAAGAACCACTGCTTTAGACTGACCATTTGTGGTACAGTAACCTTTCTGGGTATGCAAATTAGATGAGTTGTAAAGAAGGCTGAGCTGCAGAATGATTTTACTGTGAGACCTATCTGGAAGAAGCTTTCTTCTAATTCTGTTTCATAACATGATCTTATGTTCTCTTTCATGGTAAGATAGTTACCACACGCAAGAAAATGTTGTAATGCAAATAACTAGGGATTTCCTAATTCCTGCCTGCATGGGAAGGAAACTAGAACAAAATCCTGTAAATCTGTTTGCCATGCTCACGCTTATGAGCGTTCTGCTCTCCTCTTGTCAATACCTCTGAAACACTCCATGGCAAATGTATGAGTCTCTTTCTACAAGGAAAAGAGGAAGGTGGGTGCTGAAGTGCAGCAATGGAAAGCCTCAGAGATACCTGGAACACTTCTGAAGCTTTGGCATAGTTGAGAAGAGATGGAACTGTGCTCTCCTTTCAAATTCAAGAGAGAGAGAGAGAGAGAGAGAGAGATGTTTACATCTCATCTTCCACTAGATCTAAGAAGCAGTTAATTGCCTCCAAAGTTCTTTGGACCATTTGTGGTACAGTAACCTTTCTGGGTCTTTGATATGAGAGCCTGACTTGGCAATGTGAAGTGTGTGGTTAGAAATTTCAGAAGGCTACCAAAAACACTCATATCAGCATCACTTCTTTTTCCTTCCTGTCTTTTTAATACATATTAGAACTGCAGGGAGGATGTCATCTAACTGCAGTTATTTACAGAAGCAGTCAACATACAAATAAAAACAATCCAATTGTTAGTTCTTAATTTGTTACCAGCAGGTGTTAAAAATTTGTAGCGCAGATGTATTATGTGACTCAAGTTAAGATTTAGCCTGTAATTCCCAGGTTTTAGAATTTTTTATTGCATAGACTTTACAGTATTTGGTTGGTTTGTTGAAATTTTTATTGGATGACTTTTCATTAGTTGTGACTTAACTTCTAGTCCCATTGAATTGTATTTGTCTGCTCTTTCATTTTTCTGTAGTGAATGTGAAGTCTTCAGTAAAAATCACGCTGCTCCATTTTCAAAAGTTATTACTTTCCACAAGAAGGAACCTTTTGAGCTGGAAGCATTTTACACCCATCCACATGACATTCCTTACCCTGATACAAGAATAGGTAAAAAGCTTCCCTAACAATTGAGCATGGCAGCTGCACAGTGTTCTAAATATGAAAGGGAACTCTTGTTTAAAAAATCAGAACACATGCATAGTGTTCCAGGAATTTAAGTAGCAAGTTTTGCATTTCTAGAGGAATTTTTGCATTTGTTTTCCTGAATGACATATTTTCAAACTACATGGCAGATTCTCCTGGGGAAATGTTAGGATGTTTTTAAAAGAAGAATGTGATAAGGGATCAGGGGTTCCCTAATTTCCTAGCCCCCCCCCTTTTTTTAAAAGAAGAAAAGCAGAAATTTCTCAAAGCACTTTCTTTGGTGTATCCAGAGTAACTCTTTGGATTTAAGCCACAGAATTTTTATCAAAAGAGATTTAGATCAGTTGTACTTCAGAGAAGATTTTCTTAAAACAGGCAGCATGGACATCAAGTGCTGCCTGAAATGTATAAAAGAGGCCAAACAGAACATATATCTGGAAATATGGCCAGTCATTTGTAGTGAATGACATTAGTAGTGTCTTGTATGCACAGGACAAATAAACAAATGCTCAGAGTATGATTTATGTTGTTTAGGTCATTTTGTTATTCAGAATGTTGGACCCCAACATGATGGTGACAATTCCAAAGTGAAGGTTAAAGTACGTGTAAATATCCATGGCATCTTTAGTGTGGCTAATGCGTCTATAATAGAGAAGCAAAATGGAGACAATGATCCCAGTGATGTATCTATGGACACAGAATTGTCCTGTAAGAATCAAAGCAAAGATGAGCTGGTATGTAAAGCAGCACACTTCATGTTAATTTTTTTAAACAGTTGTTTATATTAAATGCTAAACTATTTGTGCAAATTGGAAAGATCATAAGGAAATAAATTAATCTTGCAGGAATAGTCTTGTGGAGAGATTTTCAAATTGTATTTTGTATAAATTATGAGATTTAACTATGATCACTTTTACGGATATTTAAAGTTATATATTGTATTTCCATAATCTTGCTCCTGTTCAGTTTTTCTTCTCCATTCACTTCTCTGACTTCTCTCTTTTCATTTTCCCTTTTACTGTCCCTTCTCCATAAAAAAATGACCTGTGGATTCTTTACTTGTTTAATTATTTTTAGTAAACACATTTACAGTTTTATCCAAGGAATTGTTGCTTCTGCAGAAGAAGCTGAATTTTAATTCCACCACAAATTGCATACGTTGGTACTCTGGATTATGTTTCTTCCCAAAGTATCTGCTTTCAGATCTCTATAGATCACCCATAGCTTTCACATTAAATTTTAGAAGTCTCTAAATAATTTATTAAAATAAATTCATTACAGAGCCCAACTGTTCATGCTAGTGTAGCTCTGTGCATGACATACAAGTAAATGCCTGAGGTTTTAAAAAAATAAAAAACAATCAAATATTTATTTATTGCTGCTTGTAATGTAACTGGAGCTGTGATGCTGCACAAAGAATATGATGGAGAGAAAAATACTTTGCTGAATGCAGAACTAACCCTTTTTAATGCATAAGCATTGTTTCTCCTAAAAAAGTACTAATTATCTTTTGTTTTTACTGTGATGCTTGTCAGCAAGTACCTTTCATTATTGAGGATGAATCCCTTCACTCTGACGAAGAGGTTTGTGACACCTGTAGCATTTAACAGGCTTAAGATAGTGAAGACACAACCCCATCCACTGGCTTTCCATTTGTTTATTAAGTAAACATTAGGTAATAGACAAAAGTAGTCATTGCAGAAAAGGAAGACTTCAAGAACTTGGCTGTAACAGTGCATTTCAAGTGAAATACTGTTTTTTTATATTGATGATACATTCTTTAAATTTTAACATTGAGAAACATTGGTAGTAAATTATATTCAGCAAACATTTCTTCTAGTCTAGCTTCATGACTTACTATTTACAGATGGGTATTAATTGAACTACTCTTAACTATTCAGAAATATAATTTAATGTCTGATGAAACACTAGACTCTTCTATGTAGACTACATTTTGCATTGTCCTTGCATTCTGATCCTGTATTATTTGTGAAGTCTTGTAGTACTAGGTCATTAGCTTGTGGACCCCCTTTTAACTATTCTGTGTGGGGTTTTGTTTCTGTTTTGTAGTTTTCAGTCTTCCTGGTGTTTATCAGTGTAATTCATCTTAAGTCCTGATATTTTTCTATCAGTCCCTTTGTGTAACTGTGGTAGAAGAAGCCCTCCTTAGTTGTATTCTGTTTTTAAGGTCTGTCTGATATTACTTCAGTATTTTTATACTAAAGTGATCATATTTCTAATTTCTGATTAACTTTGTGCTCTGAGCTTAGTTGACTCAATCGTCTTGTTTTTAAGGTATCTCAATATTTCAAGAGTATGATTACTTGCATACCATTTAGGTTATTAGTCATTTAGAATATCCTTTCTATGTTGTAACTCTATTGAAAGAATCATGGTTTAAGAAATCTTAATTTATGCTCTTATCATAATTTTATATACTTAAAAATGTGAAAAACTGCTGAACAGTTAGAATATGAAATCTTTATATAAATAAAGTTAATTGTACAGTTAAAGTTTTTCTTTTTTGTAGGCTAAAATGCAGGTTGATCATGATGATGGCAATCACAAGAACCAAACTGAACAGCAGAATCAGGCAGATGAAGAAGGTGATCATATAGGAGCTGAAGGAAAGGTCTGTATAATATAACAAGAAAGACAAGCTTTAAAACATCACCTCCTATATTAGGAACGGATTAACTCTCTTCTCTTAGTGCTACAAAGAACAAGAAAAATGCTTTCAGTGTGTTGAGAAAAGTCTGCCCTAGTTTGCTAAATTATAGACTTGATATCTGGAGCATTTTCACTATTTGCACATTGGGGAGCTCTTTATGTTGATCCTATGACATGGGTAATTAAGATAGCCATACACAGTTCCTATAGAAACTGATGTGCTGGCTCTTCTTTGGCTACTAATCCAAAGCACTTCTGAGTGGATTTTCTTCCCAAGCAGTGCTTGAAGTATGTTCCTTGGTTTGACCCTACAGTTGTCCCACAAAACAGCACATGTACTGTCTGCAGACATTAAATAGCACTTTTATCACTTTGTCAGTTTTTCATTCTAAAATTAGCAAGATGTTGAAGCTTGCATGAATTATAAATAGATTGGTGGCTCTTCTAAAGTGCATAAAGTACCAATGATGTAGCTTATTTTGCAGAAATTGCAATTATGCAAAAAGATTTGGATCAAGTCATTTATGTGTCACTAAATGTGAATACATTGGAATCAAGTGTTTTTAAAATGGTGAGAGATAATTCAGGTCTGTTGTTCTGCAGACTGCTTCAGGAGACAAGCTTGATACAAGTCAGTCTGGCAAAGCGAAAGCAAAGATGAAGAGTATTGATTTACCTATCCAAGTTAACTTATACAGACAGGTGGGACAGGACCTCATTAATTCCTTCATTGAAAATGAGGTAAGGAACACACAACTGTTGTGGTTACATATATGTGAAGTAGGTTGAGTTGCTTTTGTCTTAAATAGAAATGTGCAAAATCGAATCCGAAGTTTGTGTTTCAAATTAGTCTGGCAGACTTCTTCTATGCAGCATCTTTTTTGTGTTTTATTGGAGTATTGAGATCTAGCAGCTGGACTCTGAAAAATACATACACTTAGAATTAAACAATTTGAACTCAGAACGTTTTTGTGGCTTCTATAATTAAATAGTAGCAACAGTCCTTCTACACATAAATGCAGCTTGATTACAACCCCCCCACTCCATTATTCCGAATTTCATTAATATACAGTGGTGCCTCACTTAGCGATTGCCTCGTTTAATGATGTATCCACTTAGCAATGAGGGTTTTGGAGCGATTTTGCGCTCTGTTTAGCGATGTTCCCAATGGGGAAATTTCGCATAGCGCTGTTCGGGACCTTGCCTCGCTTAGCGATGACAGTTTAGGTCCCCCTGTTTCGTTTAGCGATGTCCGTTTTCGCTATTTTAAGTGTGTCTTAAAATGTTCAAAAACTGTTTTAAATGCTTGGGATCGTTAGTGCACCTTGTAAAACCTTTGCAAACTTAATTTGGCTTTGTTCTGAGTCTTCGTTAATTTTTGGTGAATTTTCCCCCCATTGGAATGCATTGAATAGGTTTGACAGCTGTAGGTTTGACACTTAAAATAGCGAAAACGGACCTGTCAAAACCATTGAAATGCATTGAATAGGCTTCAATGCATTCCAATGGGGGAAACATTGTTTCGCTTAGCGATGTTTCCTATGGCGATTTTCGCTTAAGGACAGCAATCCGTTCCCATTGGAATGGATTATCCGGTTTTCAATGCATTCCTATAGGAAATTGTGTCTCGCTTAGCAATGTTTTCCCATAGCGATGGTTTTTTGGGAACCAATTAACATTGTTAAGCGAGGCACCACTGTAATTTAATTAATGAGTCATTTTAGTTTTACTGCTGAATAACTGGCAGTGAGAAATCCTTAGCAGTTTCCTGCTAATTACCTAGGACATTATCTTTGTGGGGAAAACTTTAGACATAAGTGCAGTGGGAAAGTGTACTGCTAGTTATTCAGTTTTTCAGTTTCCTGGGCTGCTGTTTATCTACCTGGGCACATAACCTGTTACATCATCATCTTTGCAACCAGGGGAAGACCAGCCCTGTGACGGACATCCTGGGAAACAAAAGTGTTTATGTGATTGCCCTTAATGCAGTCACATAAGGTAATGGGATTCTGCCCCTAAAGATTTACAAGTAGATCTGAATCAAGGAAATAAAGATAGGTTCATCTGCTAGATTTAGACTACCTAAAAGTGTATTGTCTGACATAAACAACTGAACACCTGAAGAGATTTGTTAAGGAAGATTTCCAAAACTACACAAGATAAAGAAGTTTTTCTGTATGCAAAATGTGTACAAGATAAATCCACATTTAGGATTTAAATTGAGTTTTAAGAATTTGATATTTTCCCACAGGGGAAGATGATGATGCAAGATAAGTTGGAGAAGGAGAAAAATGATGCCAAAAATGCTGTTGAAGAATACGTGTATGAACTGAGAGAAAAGTTGTGTGGTGTCTATGAAAAATTCATCACAGAAGATGTAAGAATCATATATTTGTAACAAGAAAAATTGTTCCATTAGCAATAATATTGAAACAAAAAGAAGACTGCTTGAGGTAATAGGAGCAAATTGATTGGTTCCAAATTTAGTCATGGAGTAAGCTCATTGAAATCAATAGAGTTTGAACTAGCCATGATCTTGATCTCAATTGACATCAAAGATCACCTTTACCTAAATCTGGAACCTAATGTGATTGGCATACTACTGCTTGGGATACAGTTGTACTGGAATATTACATTTGTCATGTTGGTATCCATCTTTCTCTGCCACCATAACAACACAGAAAGAACCCAGTAAAAAAAAAGGCACTGATTCTCATCACATTGGAGTAATGGTGATCTAGCATGCTCTTCCGGCACCTGCAGCGTATCAACACTATCAGTGGGCAACATGCATTTTAGGTTTTCTCAGCATTGAGAAAAAATTGAAGTTAGCATGTAAGGATGTAGTATATATAAAGCAGTTTTGTAGGACCCCTGTATTGAAGCCCCTGTCTCCCCATGGATGATAAAATCTGTTGATAGCAAACACTATACTTGGTATCTTGTTTCCTCTAGTGGTCAGTTCTGGTAAGTACATAGTGGAAATATGTATTATTATTTTTAAAATATTTTTAGTATTTTCAGACTGTGGATAAGTGAACTGTCGATATGGATCCTGTGGGTAGGGTGCTCCTACTGTATTAGCATTTTAGACTTCCAAATAGTAGAATGTAGTATTTGGAGTTACAATCAGCAATATGTGGAACGAATTTTTTTCTGTACCCATTTAGTATGCATTGTTTAATAAATAATGAGTAACAACATGAATATACACAATATAAAGCATATTGAACAACTGGTAGGAATAAGGTAAAGGTAAAGGTTCCCCTTGACAATTTTTGTCCAGTCGTGTTCGACTCTAGGGGGCGGTGCTCATCCCCGTTTCCAAGCCATAGAGCCAGCATTTGTCCGAAGACAATCTTCCGTGGTCACATGGCCAGTGCGACTTAGACACGGAACGCTGTTACCTTCAGCATGTTAAAATGAATGTGAAACCAACTGTTTTCAGTGTCTTCATTTTTTTCTTAGAATTAAATAATGCAAGAATGTTTATACTGTTGAATTGTTCTGTGTTAAGTGTTTACAGATATTCCAGAATGGGCAATTTCCAAGTTTTGCATTGTAATATACTTAACTCACAAAGCATCTCATCTTTTATTTCCAAATACTCTTCTAGTGCAGCTCAAAACTGTTAGGAATTGGTTTGTTGATATGGATCAAACCTGCTGTCCGCATTTTGGTTTAATTGTTTAGCTACAGACAATTTCCTTCTTAATTTATTTGTTTCCTTTTTGTTGGTAACCACATAAATTATAGCTAGTGTAGTTTTTAATCATTGTGTTGCGTTTGTCATGATAATTTTATATTTCTTTTGGCAAGAAAAATGTACTAGTTGTTACCTTTGCATGAGTATAGATCTAACTGTAGTAAATTTAAACTGCGCAGCAACACAAGTACAAGATTAATTAGCAAGATCCTCCTGAGAAACGTTCAAGTGGAATTAAAGCCTTCCTACAGAGCTTGACTAAAAAACTATGAGGTTTCACTTGTCTAGCTCTATGACTTGCTGTCCTTCAGATTCCGGCTGAATTGTACAAACAGAAAATAGTGGCTAAAATCCTATTGCTTAGCATAGCAAGTTGCACTAGAGTAGGCCCATTGAATCAGTGGGATGAGTCAGCTTTTCTGTAAGCTGCATTGATTTAAATGGGCCTACTCTGGTTGCTAGCCACAGAATTTCAGCCAGAATGTATGAAGGGTTGTTTTAAAAGCAGGAGCATGGTCTCTAAGACATAATTGTAAGAAGTAAATTTCCATCTGTACATGTATTTCTGTCTTAGCACAAGAGTGAGAAGCCTGTGGCCTTTCAGATATTGGAATCCAACTCCAGCAATCTCTAGTCAGTAGTGGTCAATGATCAGTGCTTGATAAGAGCTGTAATCCAATAGTAGTTTAGTTCACCATCTAGAGTAGAGGTGTCAAATTCAATTTCATCTTGGGCCACATTATGGTTGCCCTCAAAGAGCTGGTGGTATCTGTAAGACTATATAAATGGACCTACTCTTTATCATATTAAATATAATCCTCATTTGATTATTACTAGTTTTAGTAATAACGTAAATAATAATTAGCTCTGAAAGTAAAATTATCGAAATCTAGAAATACAGTGGTGCCCCGCATAGCGAGGTTAATCCGTTCCGGATTAACCTTCGCTATGGGAAAACATCGTAAAACGGATCAAAAACCCCAAACAAAGTTTAATGCGTTCCAAATGGGCCCAAAATTCACAGTTCTCCAATGTTTTCCCTTGTTCCGGCAGCCATCTTGGGTGTACCGGCGGCCATTTGGAGCATCCCGGCAGCCATTTTGGGTGTACCGGTGCCCATTTTTTGTGTTCTGGCGGCCCTCTTGGGTGTACCAGTGGCCATTTTTTGTTCCGACGGCCATCTTGGGTGTACCAGCGGCCTTTTTTTTTTGTTCCGGCGGCCATCTTGGGTGTACCGCACCCATTTTTTGTGTTCCTGCGGCCATTTTGGAGCCACAGAACAGCTGTTCCCCCATCGTAATGCGAGCGTGCCCTCGCATTAGCGATGGGGAAATCCGCCTCGCAATGCGGATTCATTGTTCAACGGTGCACTCGTTATACGAGGCACCACTGTAATGGCAAGCAGATAAGAATGGGAGTGGGCTATATTTCCCAAGGTGCTATCCGCCACCCAAGTGGCTGCACTTTCTGACTCTTTGCTGCTTGGAATGCTGGGATTAGAAGTCCCACTGGGCAGATTTTCCAGCATCCTTGTGGAGCATTATGGGTGATCATAATGCTCTACAGTAAGCGCCTGCATATTGTTTTCTGCACAGTAGCAGACAGCACTGTGAGGGCCACATGAAATGGCCAGGCGGGCTGGATTCAGCCCACGGGCTTTGAGTTTGACACATGTGATCTACAGAGAGCCCAGTTACGACTTTAGTACAACATCTGGAGAGTTGCCATCTCTTCAGCAATAACATATGAGACAACTGAAATTCCAAGTTCTCTTTTAAATATTGATTTATTGAATTTCTGGTTTTAGGATTCCAGCCACTGTCATTGTCTTCTTTGCTTATGGAGTGGTGTAGATTTCAAAAATTCTTGTAACTTTCTGTGTTTAGCCAAGTAATATTACTAGAAGTAGTGATTGGATATATACTTGTATAGCCACATTCCGCTGTTTCCACATACAGTATTCAGAATGACATGGTGTGCTGTCCATGAGCTATTTTGATGTTTTCCATTGCTTTTTCTAGGATTCAAGGAAGATAACTTTAATGCTAGAGGATACAGAGAACTGGCTTTATGAAGATGGAGAAGACCAACCAAAACATATATATGTAGAAAAGCTTCAGGAAATGAAAGTAAGACCTGCACTCATTAATTGTAAACTTCACTACCCTGTTTCCCTGAAAATAAGACCTAACCTGAAAATAAGCCCTAGTATGATTTTTCAGGTTGCTTGTAATATAAACCCTACCCCAAAAATAAGCCCTAGTTAAGTGAAACTCTGCCCTCCACCACTGAACAGCAACCAGAAGATGACATGACTGTATTTGAATACATGTAGATTGTTGCACAAGTTAGCTGTGAAATGTTTTATTGAAAACATGAAAAAAAAACATCCCCTGAAAATAAGCCTTACAGCTTTATTTGGAGCAAAACTTAATATAGGACCCTGTCTTATTTTCGGGGAAACATGGTAGATAGCCATCATTTGCAAGGGGGGGTGCAGTTCTGAATTACAGTTAATATATGTTTTCCTCATAGTTGTATGTGATCCATTTTTTTCTGATTTCTTTGACCAAAGTAATTGGTCTTTTTACTTTTTGAAATTAACATGCATGTGTTCTTACATTGCTAATTACACAAGGATTTCTGCTTTATTTTCTACAAAATTAATGGAGTTGGATCCTGACTAAGTTTGGACTTGCATACGCCACTAATTTCATAGAGCCCCTCTCAATATGGCTCAATCTGGATTCAGTGTTTGGTATAATTATTCAAGGTTTCTCCATTTTTAATGAATGATACTACAGTGTATCAGTGTTTTTTTATGTTTGTAGAAACTGGGAGGTCCTATTCACGAGAGATATATGGAACATGAAGAAAGGCCAAAAGCTTTAAATGATTTGGGAAAGAAACTCCAGCTGCTCATGAAGGCTGTAGAAGGATATAAAAATAAGGTAGGACCAAGTATATAGTACAGTATAGTAGTAGATTACTTTGGCAGAACAGTCCTTAGAAGTAGATAAAAAGTGCAGTTTTGTTTTTAATGTTTTGTATTTTACTGTTTCCCTCCATTTCTGATTTGAGTCATGCAAACACACACCTGTACATGGAGTAGCCCCTGACTCAGGGTGGCAGTATAACTTTTTTTAAAAGAAAAAAAGAGTGGAGTCTGCTAAAGTAGACTCTGAGTAGACTTTGTCTGGGGGGGCGGGCAAAAATATAATAAATAAATAATATAATAAATAAATAAAGCAAATAGTTGGTAAATGGATTAGGACAAGGAATTAAGCATTGGAATGAAAGGCTGGAAGGAGAGTTATAGACATACAAAAAGGATAATTGATTTCATAAGTTATTCCTTGGTTCACAATGAGGAACTGTTTTTAATAAGGATCACCACAACTGTGGCCTTCCTATTCCCACCTCAAAAGACCAAAATGAAAGGAAACCGTGTGCATTCTCACTGAACAAATTCATCAGGAACAAGATAATTAGTTGACCAACTGTTGGCAGTGCAACAGAGCAGCAAGGAAGGAGGTTAAATTGAAAGGATGGTCAAAACCATGCAGATCCTCACTAGTATTAAGCAACCACAAATCACTGCTTCTCTGTGATAACAGTTAATGGCTGAAATCCTGTTGCCTAACTTTGTGTGGTGCTCCAGCAAATCACCACCATTTAAAGATGATTTCAGGGTGCATGTGACTTGTACAGAATGGAATAAAGTCACATGCACCCCAGAATCCACCAAGGGAAGCCTCTATTCAGCAGTGATTTTCTGCTGGTGGTGTTGTAATTGCTGTTGTACATGTGCAAGAGGATTTCAACCAATAAGTTGCAATGTTTTCTGGCTAGACAGTTCAAATATCAATAAAGAGAGTGGCATTAATTTTTTGACAAATAGCATTTCCAAATCTTGAGTTCATTTAAAGTGTGAATGTCCAAGTTTGCAAAATTACATTGATTGGGAAAGCTCAGTTCACAGATCATGGCCCAAGGAAACTATAGTTGCCAATAGTTATAAGTATAATTAGATGACCTCTTCTAATAAATCACTTTTCTTCAGCGCATTTGGACTGCAACTCACATGTGTATCAGCTAGCATAACCAGTGATTCGTGATTAATGGGAGTTGTATTCCAAAACATTGGAGAGTAACACATTGGAGGACCCACCCCAGAGATGCCTCCATTAGCAACCAAATCAAAATCTTCTAAGAACGTCATCCCATTCCACCAAGCCTGCTTCTAAATCATCTTCCAAGTCAAAAAAACCCATCATCTCTGCCACTTATGCAACAGTCATCGCCAGGATCTCTTCGGTCCCCGCGACATGCTGAACCTACCGACCGTCCCTCTCCCAACCCTCACCCCTCAATCTCCAATCGAAGTCCCTTCTCGGGGGTCTTCAGCGTCCGGCAGCCCTCGGTCGCCCTCATCTCCACCATCCATTCATGAACCTGCTTCTCTGTTACCGGACCCAGCATCACCTAGGAAAAAGAAAAGTAAAACAAAACATGTTGAAACAACGTTAGGAGATTCCCGGTCTTCAAAATCTTCGAGACTGAAGGTCTCCCCTGAAGGGGCTCGAAAATCTCGCCCCAAAGGCAATAAGGCCCGTAGCCTGAAGGAGGGCTGGCCGTTCCTTCCTTTCTCCAAAAAATATTTCAGACGCTGGCTAAAACAGATGGAGAAACTTTATGACCCGCATCTCCTATATGGTATTGATGCCCCGAATTCGTCATCATCGGGGTCTCCATCCTCTGATACCAACCCCTTGGATGGTGATTCCTATACATCAGACCAGCAGGTCAGCAATACCGACCGTAAATGGCATCATTCTTGCTCAAGCCTCTCGGTACTGGCTGCAAAAAAGAGAAAAGTGACCGCGGTATCGGAGACGTCTAAGCAACTCCAACAAGCTCGCGCCGTGTCTCACCCCAAGCACAGCGATACGGCTTCGATCACTCACGGTACCGTAATCCACGGTACCAAGGCCCACGGTACCGCACCACCTAAGAGACATCGTGACTACCCTAATAATAAGGAAACATTGAAGAAGTCAACTAAACAAATCCGTATTTGTTCACCTTCCAGCTCTGAGTCTTCTTATCAATTCGACCGTTACGGTACCGGCCGCGATACCGACCATGGTACCAACCACAATACCAAACACAAGAGCCGATTTCCATCCAAACCTTTTCGTACTGTCAAGGAAGACCACAATTTTTCAGACTCTGATCATTCCAATTTCAATGCGATTCTGACTCATCAGGACCTTCTTGGCCATGATTCACCTCCGAATGACAACACCCCTGATTCTGAGATTTTTGATAAAAACCCAGCCTTGCCTGCAGCTGATTTCCCGTCCTACTCTGAGATGATTCAGCGCATAGCCAAGGCTTTAGATCTAGCTGTAGAACAACCATCTCAAATAGCCACAGACAAGGTCTATGCCGATATCGACGAGGACCAAAATCCACCTCTACACCTTGCCTTCATTCCTTCTCTGCTTTGTATCCTCAAGCAATCCTGGGACAAGCCCTGCTCCCTTCTGCAGATGTCAAGAAGAGTTGAAAACCTTTACAGAATTCGGGGTCTGAATTGGACTTTCTAGTTAAACATCCTCCTCCTAATTCATTAATTATGGATGTCACTCAGTCTATATCTAGACCTACTTCCAACACTACTCCAAATAACAAGGAAGGCAGGAAGATGGATATTCTGGGTCGTCGCGCCTACTCATTGCGTCTTTCACACTCAGGGCTGCTAACTATATATGGGTGCCTATCACCAGCATCTTTGGAACAGAGCTCTTCCATCCCTTCAAGCGGCTCCAAATGAACTGCAGCCCAGAGGATTGTCCTTGCACCAGGAAGCTATGGCTCTGGTCAGGCAGGAACGAGTGACAGCCAGACACATTATCAATGCAGCTTCTCGCAGCCTAATGACAGGGGGGCTATCAGACATCATGCATGGCTCAGATCAGTGAACATCACTGAAGATTCTAAATCTCAACTACTAGATCTGCCATTTGACGGCACCGGTCTCTTTGACCCAAAAACTGATGATATTCTCAAGGGTCTCCATGAGGCGAGAAAGACAGCGTGCCCCTATTCTTCTCAGTCTTACTATAAACAGTGATACCCCTGGAAGCGCCAGCCATCCTACCAATCTTTTCAGTCTTCTAAACCATACCACGGCAAGCAGAGATATTATCCTTCTCAGTCTGCTTACCCTGTTTGCCAACAGGACCAACGCCAGCGTTCTCGTCAGATCTTCTGGAAGTCTGATCGAAAGTCCAGACAGGGCCTTTGACTTCCACTACTTGTTCATCTCTGGTTTACTCAGCTGTTATGACACCCGATTATCTCCTTTCCTCAAAATTTGGTCTCGTATTACCTCCGACAAGTGGGTGCTCACCATAATTGCTCAAGGATACGGAATAGAATTCCTGGAACTTCCTCCTCCATGTGTCATCATCACTCCTCCCTCTGCTGCCCTAAGAGAGGAAATAAAAACTCTTCTTCAGAAATCAGCCATAACCCTTGTTTACCCAGACCCATAGGATCCTGGTATCTTTTCAAAATACTTTTTGGTTCCAAAGAAGGGTGATACTTTCTGCCCCATTTTGGACCTCAGAGACTTAAATTTTTTCATTACTTACCGCCGCTTTTGGATGATCACACTGGAGCGCATCCTGCCACTTCTCCAATGCAGAGATTGGTTCGTCGTGATCGATCTCAGCAACACCTGTTTTCACATATCAGAAGAGACCATTGAAAATACGCTTTGCCCTTGGGTCCAAATGTTTCGAATTCTCAGCTTTACCATTTGGGCTATATACGCCGCCACGTGTCTTCACAAAATGCATGGCACCCGTGGAAGCTTTCCTTCGCACAAGAGGAATCGCGGTGTATCCGTACATTGATGATTGGCTCCTAGTAGCACCATCTCGACATCAAGCAATGCGTCATACCAGCACCACATTGCGTCTCCTTCAGATTCTGGGCCTGCAAGTAAATTTCAAAAAGTCATTGCTGATTCCATCCCAGGTTGTGAATTACATAGGAGCCATCCTCGATGCACGGAAAGCAAGGGCCTTTCTACTGGGGGACCACGCAGCCAAGATAACTGCTCTCATCAGATGCTTCACACTTCTTCAATCCGTCACTGTGCACCGTGCTCAGCCAAGATAACTGCTCTCATCAGATGCTTCACACCTCTTCAATCTGTCACTGTGCAGTGCGCTCAGAGACTTCTAGGCCTCATGGCGTCCACCACATCCGTCATCCCACACGCCAGACTAAAGATGCAATCACTTCAGGTATGGCTACTATCTCTGTTCAACCCCCTGACAGACTCACCCAGAATGCGGCTTAAGGTGACCACAGAATTAGCGCACCAACTGGAGTGGTGGACCAGTCCATCCAATCTGTTTATGGGTCGCCTGTTTGCTCCAGTTCTACTCACAACAAGAATCACTGGTCAACAAGTCCATGATCACTGGTCATCAATAGAACAGAGGTTGCACATCAACAACCTGGATCTGTTAGTGATCTTCAAAGCCTGTCACGCTTTTCTCCCTGTCATCGAGGGCACAGCAGTGCAGATTGTCACAGACAACACCACTGCTGCCTTTTACATCAACAAGCAGGGCGGCACCCATTCTCCTGCTCTACTTTACTTGATGGTCCAGTTTTGGGAATGGTGCCTAGAGCATCACATTTTTCCCTCAGTGATTCACAACTCCACGCATGAGAATGTCTGGGTGGACCATCTCAGCAGGATGACCATCACAATGCACGAGTGGACATTGGATCGGGAGGTGTTCCTTCACATCTGCGAGAAGTTGGGTACCCCTGTACTGGATGCTTTTGCTGCCCAGAACAAGTGCCAGACTTACTTTTCGAGAGGAGGTCGGGGAGTAGGCTCACAGGGCGACGCACTCATGGTACTTTGGAGCAGTCATCTGTTATACATGTTTCCACCTTTTCCTCTCTTACAACGAACCATTGTCAAGATACATCATGACAATGCAGATGCAGATGTCATTCTAGTGGCTCCCTGCTGGCCCGTCAACCGTGGTTCACTATGATGATAACACTAGCGGTGGACTTCATGAGGCTTCTGTCCCTTCCTCATTTACTGATACAACATGACGGTCCCACTTATCATCCAGATATCAACTTTCTTCATCTCACGGCATGGCGGATCCTCCCACAGTGACTGAGATCATGTCTCACTGTTGGAAACCATCCACCAAACCTTATATAATAACAAATGGACTGCCTTTCAAAAGTTTGCTCTTGCACATAACCTGCCAGTTTCCCCGACCTCTGTCCAGGCTGTTCTGCAGTTTTTGGCATATCTATTCAATATGAACTTGGCTCACTCCACTCTTAAGGTCTATCTTTCAGCCATTGTGGCACACCAGCCTCCTGATTCGGTGAGTGCTCTTCTTTTTCGTAACAACAAGATCAAGAGGGGTTTGCGTGGGGCATTACGGATAGCGCCTATTCCACAATGGTCCCTACATACAGTGCTCAGTCGTCTGGCACATCCACCTTTTGAACCCTTTGCAACAGCCTCAGAACGTTTGCTCACATTCAAAGTGTTATCCCTGGTAGCCATTACTTCGGCTAGAAGGGCTTAGGAACTGGCCGCACTAAGGGTTGATCCACCCTTTCTTCAGTTCTTCCCAGATAAAGTGACCCTTTATCCAGACGTCTCATTTTTACCCAAAGTTTCCTCCAGCTTCCATGTTCGTCAACCAATTATATTGCCAACTTTTTTCCCTCAGCCGTCTACTCCTGTTGAGAAGTCCCTACATCTGCTTGATGTTCACAGAGCTTTGTCTTACTACGTTCAAAGGATTGCTTCTTTTAGGAAATTCAAACGTTTGTTCATTTCTCCTCATCAGCCTCATAAGGGACATCAGGTGTCACCACAGACCATCTCTAGATGGATCGTCCAGACCAGTGGTTCTTAACCTTTGTTACTTGGATGCTTTTGAACTGCAACTCCCAGAAACCCCAGTCAGGACAGCTGGTGGTGAAGGCTTCTGGGAGTTGCAGTCCAAAACTCCTGAGTAACCCAAGGTTAAGAAGCAGTGGTCCAGACCATATGTTTGACTTATGAACTTGCACACAAGCCTCTTCCATATTCGGACAAAGCCCACTCTGCCAGAGTGGTAGCGACTTCCACGGCATTTCTATGAGGTATCCTTCAGGATGTCTGCAGGGCCGCCACTTGGTCCACGCCATCTAAGTTTGCATCCCACTACAGACTGGATGTCAGAGCTAAAGAGGATGCTTGCTTTGGACGTGCGGTTCTTTCTGCTGTGTTGCCGTGATGTCGCTCCACCTGTCAGAGGTAAGCTTGCTAATCACCCATTAGTGTGCATTCACAGAGGCCACGAAGAAGCAAGAGGTTACTTACCTGTAACTTTGGTTCTTTGAGTGGTCCTCTGTGAATTCACACTTCCCGCCCATCCTCCCCTCTTTCTGTCATGGCTGTCTCGCCTTAGAGCAGCAGTGGAATTTGGGGAACTGAGGTAATTGTTCGGGCGGGCGGACCATAAGGGCTTGAGGGGAGGGGCTAAAATGGTTACTTTAAGCTCTAGAATGTTCTGAGGCCTCTGCACACACACAGAATTGACCCATTAGTGTGAATTCACAGAGGACCACTCAAAGAACCAAAGTTACATGTAAGTAACCTCTCTTTTAACTAAACCAGTTCATGGTGTCTGAAATGTTGGGGACATTTAAAGGATGGGTGGGGAAGGAGAAAATAAATGACTTATTACAGAGCATATTCCCCTGCTGTGAGTCAGCCCCCTTCCCCAACGTGGTGCACATAGAGAAGATGAGCACTTTGTTCATGTTACTATAAGCATTCCTTTTTGGGTAGAAGAGTTTGTTAGCATGCCAGTCTGTAGGTATAGAGGTAGAGTAGCAACTAGACACCATGTAAGGTGTGATTTTCCAATTTCTCAGAAGCAAACCATTTAGATGTCACAGAAACCATAGTTAAGATTCCTCATCAGTGGTTTGGGCTAATGTCAGAATTGAGCCTGTGTCTTCAGTATCTGGCTGAATTTTGAACTAAAGCAATTTTTCTCTTTAGGATGAAAAATATGATCATATTGATGCTGTTGACATGGAAAAAGTTGAAAAGTGCACTAATGAGGCTATGAATTGGTTGAATTCAAAAATGAATGCACAGAACAGACTGAGCTTGACACAGGATCCTGTTGTGAAAGTGGCAGAAATAATGGCAAAATCTAAGGTAAATAAGATAAAATATTGTGAGGGTGAAGTGTTAATGGAAAAATAATTGCTGATGAATAAGGAATGAATTAGTACTGTGAATAATAGAAAATATGTTCCACCAAAGGTTACTAGAGGAATTTCAGCAAACAGCTTTTGATGTCTTCTTATGCTGAACTGCATATGTCATAGCTGTTAATAGTATATGTTGTTCAACCAAACATGTACAGAGCACTCTGGTTCTCCGTATCTGAAACCCAGTAATGTAAAGTTAGGAGCATAAGCCTGATGGCATTTCATTTGTGGCTATAGTTTAACCATTTCCTAGGTTATTAGACAAACAAGAAGAAAAGGCAACTGAAAGAGGGAAACGGAGAAGAATCAAAGGCTTTTTTGTCCCCATTTCAGTAAACAAAGCATTCAGGTTTAAGAGCTTCTCTATTCAGAATCAGTCTGAAAATGAAAGAGCCTATTTTGTGTTTTCTCCCATTTACGTTAACCGAAAAGTCCCTTCTCTGTTAATTGCAAGAGAATTTACTGTAGCTATAATAAACATGGCTTCAAGCACAAGTTTTTCATCCATTAATAGAAAAGTCTATAACTTTACAGCAAACATGATTAAAGCAAAGTTGATAAATTTCTGTGTGTACATGTGCATGTCTCTGTGTGTGTTACAAGGAAAGGAGCAGTGTATTCTGAAAAACAAATACAGTGGTGCCTCGCTTAACGAGTGCACTGTATAGCGATGTTTCCGTATAGCGATCCCTTTTTCGGGATCGCTATACGGAAACATACCCGATCTTTGCAATGGGGAAAACCCGCATTGCGAAGATCGGGTATTGCGGCGGCCATTTTGGAGCCGCCGAACAGCTGATCGGCGGTTCCAAAATGGCCGCCGGAAGCCCGGAAATGGCTGCTGGCAGCCGTTTTCGCGCCCTGCCCTCACTTAGCGAAGGTGCGAAAATGGCTGCCGGCACCTGGAATCCTCGCTGAACGGGTAAGTAACGAAGGTATTGGAACGCATTAAACGAAGTTTAATGCATTCCAATACCTTTCCCCTACCCGTTTAGCGATGATTCCGTATAGCGAGGGTTAATCCGGAACGGATTAACCTCGCTATACCGGGCACCACTGTAATAATCTCCTGGCGTACCTGTCAGTTGCATATACTACCATGTTCTTCTGAATTGCTGATTTTTTTTGTTTCTTTTAATTCTAACAGGATCTGGATAGTGTATGTAATCCTATTCTATGCAAGCCTAAACCCAAGGCGGAACCACAAGGTCAAGCAACATCTAATAATGAACACAATGGACCAATGAATGGACAGAGTGGTGCTGACACAAAAGCAGAGGACAGTTGCCAGCAGTCTAAATCATCTGAAGAAATGGATGTGGACTAAGTTTTTCATTCCTTTCAGTCCATTAAAACAGTGCAAGTAATCCAAGGGTCCATCTTTCTTTCATGTCTGATTTATGTTACATATGTTCAGTTACTTAGCCAACTTTCTGTCCTTTGTTGTTTGCAGTAGGTTTGAAAGTGTTTTTTCAATTGACTGCATTCCCATTGTTCATTCCATTAATGCTGCTTACTTGGAGCTTTAGTTGAATGTAGATTGTAAAAGTCAATTTAAGCTTTCCCAATATATTTTATATCAAATACACAGAATTGATATATAAATGACAACAATCTACCTTATTTAAAGCTTTTATTGTGGGTAAGTCTCTGCTCCTTTATTCAGGAAAGACCACTGTATTGCACTATTGATGCTGAAGTGTAGATCTTTACATCATTATTTTGGAAGATAATGGATTTGATATGGCTTAAATGTTGCCACTTGAAGCACTGACCTTTTTCTAGTTGTTGTATTGTTCTAATTTAAATATTAAAATATAGGTTAGCTGGCAAACTAGTTCATCTTATTGATGTACCATGAAAAATTGTAAGAACCTTGTAGACAACATTTAAGGCTTGAAAGAAGCTCATACCAGCAGCATTCTTTGTCATAACACAAACACCATAACTCAAAATAAAGGTCATGGTCTCCATGTATACACAGTCCTCTATATCATATTTTGTGTTGATGCTGAGGCACTATTACACATTAATGGAATTTTAATGTCCATAAGCTGGGAGACATGTTTCATTTCTCTTAAGTATGTCTGGTCTCGGTGGTTTAACTTTATCCTTAATATTGCCTCTGCATGCTTTTAAAATACATCCTCCTTACAGAAAAAACAACAAAAAACAAGAACAACAGAACGTACACATTGAAAATCCTTATCAAGAAGTATGAATCTTATCTGTATCAGTATTTCTCACAAAAGCACTTCTGTTCTACTTGGCAAAATGATTTTCTGTTTTGGAGTCTGTGCTTAGACAAGGGTCAAAGTTATTAACAAAAATCCTAGGCATCGTTTTCTGGTAACATTTAGCAAAGGCACATACTTTTCTTGTAACATTTGGCATAGTAAGTCAAAAGACACATAAAATAGAAGTATTTAAACATAACGCTATTGGTACAGTTCTTAGGTAATAACCAGTCTGAGGAGCTGCTTAACTCAGCTGCCTTGAAACATGGGCAGCTGCCAGTTCTTCATCAGCATGAAGAAATCTTAATCTGTTTGAATGCCACCTGTTGGTATATTAGCTAAGCTTTGTCCTTCTGAATGATGTTCAGGTGACTCGGTTGTTCTTTCCATATTGCTACTACTATGCAAGGTTTATTACAGAATATTTCAAATTGCTCAATCATTTTTCCTAGTTCTTGTGTAAGTAATCAGAATATGTAGACCACAATGTATGCAAAAAAACTTTACTTTGCAAGTTATCTGAATCTGCAGTTTTCAGATAAAGGATGACGGTGGACAGACTTTTCTTATGTGATAAACAATCCACTGCTACTGTCTAAAACATTGTGCAGCTCTGCATGTGCAATGGCAACAATGTCATGAACAGTAACAAATCACTGCTGATTCATGTCTTCCATGGGTGATTTCTAGGTACTAATGACTTTATCACATTGTGCACAAGTGCACCCCAAAATTGTACTTAATCAGCAGCAGCCAAATACCTAAACCACTGAGCTATTCATCAGCTGGACCCAGTCTTCCTCCACATGCAGGCTCACTGCATCCCTCTGCAGGATGGATGCCATTGGGGACATAACCATATGGCCTCTAATAGTATTACATCCCTGGCCAAAGTCCTGAGAAGAGCTGCTTCACCTGGCAGTTCTGCGAGGGACTGACCTGCATATTCTTGCCTTTCCCTACATGAAGAAGGTAAAGGAAAGCATTTTCAGCCAGTCCCTGCAAATGTTGCATAACCAGCAGCAGTGCTGGTTTCCACAGGGGACAACTTTATGCTCCTGGGACCAGGGATAGTCTTGAAAATTAAAGTATGGAAATATAAAAAAAAATGTTTCTGGAAGCCCAATTACAGTCTCTCTTTTGTGCTTTGGGAGGGACTTCACTCAGTTTTATTGCAATTGCTGGAGACTCTTGCAAGCAGAAAATGACATTTAAAAAAAATTAGGGTTTTCCACAGGCCACAAAGATGGACTGCAGTCCTGAGAAACACTTAAACCATCCCTGTCTTTCAAGGAGCAGTAGTAGTACATAAGTGATGTTACATGGGCTAGAGTCTTTTTCCATACCTAACATTTTGCAAAATATAGGCAAGTGCCACAACACTAACATATGTTTATTTTATTTATTACATTTATACCAAACACTTCCACTATAAGATGGTGTTCAGATGGGTTACAACTTCAAAAAAACAACAACATATTACTATAATAATGCTAATGAGGGGAGAATGCTTCTTTCTGAGAATAAAAAAATCTGAACTCAAAAGTGTTTAGTGTAATTTTGCCTGCTTTTCCCTGTCTTAAAAAATCTGGGATAACTGAGGTTCATCATTTTGTGTTTTATTTAAGAGAGTGTGTCCTAAGAAGAAATGTGACTTGTACAATTATGGCCCACTTGATCTAGGACTTGGGCAAGCACTAAATAATCCAACAAAAATTGCATATTAGTTTACTTAAGACAAGGGTAGCCTTGTGACTTGTAGACTGCATCCAACCTCTCAATGTCACATGGTTCCCCAAACCCCCAATATGTTCATTAAAAAAATATGACTTGCAAAATACCCTTATGCCTTTTGGGGTGGGTGGGAGACACATTTGGCACTTTGGAGGGCACTAGAAGGTATGAGAGAACTTTTTCTATTAACAAAAACTACCTTTCAAAAATAACTATTTGGGGGCTAAGCAGGAAGTAGAGCTCTTGGGTCCAGAGGTGGGCATGTGCAAGCTAAGATGTGCAGTCTGTCTTCTTTACAGTTCTAGAGTGGATAAATAGAACTGAAGAAAAAGTTTAATGCTATCTGATTTTACTCCTTCAGGATCTCTTCTCTCACAGCAGCAGAAATTGGAATATGAAAACTTAATTGTCCTGTGTGCTTTTTGTTTCCCGTTCCTAAGCCCAAAACTTCCAACAGGATTTTCTTTGCATCTTGACACCAGAAATTCTTGTGATTTCATGGGAGTCCTTCCTCATGAATTTTTAATCTATGGAATAATTGTTAAATCAATTCTAGTGGAATATTTGTTAGCCAAATTAAAATAATTTTGAATATAATAATTAAATAGTAATTAATTACTCATTCCCAACTCTCAGACTCACTGGAGTTCAGTAGACTAATTTCCAGAACAGCACTTCCTATCACTTATATCCTTCTGCATCAATGCCTATTTATGCTAAACTGTTTGATTATTGCTTTATTTTCCCTGGCTCATACCTTAAACCTACTGCCTCAATCCTATAATTTGAAAGTCTTTCACTTGAGTTTGATTCAATTTCAAATTGGCTATGACCACTGGTAGTTATTTGCTTGAGTTGGATTACATCCTGTTCAGCACCACTGGAGTGAAAACCTCCATGTCATAATCATGATTGAGTGTTCTTTCTTGCACCATCATAGACCCAAACAGAATAACACAGAAAAAGTCTGTTTATAAGTGATGTCATGCTTTTGTGGAAAGCAAAGATTGCTTATTTGAGCATAGGGGGATTTCACTTGCACAAAGAGCTACTGAATCGTTCCACAGATGTGCAAGCAAAAATGTGAAAACTTTTCTGCTATAGACTACTATATGAGCAATTTTACTGAAGAGAATCCACATGTCATTTTTATCTCTGCCATTGTGAGATTTAGCTACCCTTATTTTCTTAAAGAAGGTTATTTTTAAAAGTGTGTGTATGTGTGTGTGTTGAATCTGAAACCATAAGAATCATTTTCATAGTAAGTCTTTATAATAATTATCATCACTACCACCACCACCATCTTAGAACTACAGAGCTGGAAGGAACGCAATGGATTGTGTCCAGCTCTTCTCAAGGAGGCACAGTGAGAAATCGAACTCCCAAACTCTGGCTCCACAGCCAGATGCCTAAACTACTGAGCTATCCAGCAGTTTTTATCTGTTTGGGAGAAGAAATAAACTATAATTGAATATATATTGATGCATGTTTGGAGAAGAGCAAAGCAAGCAAAACACAATGTGTTGCCTTAATTTTCAGGTATCAGTTGTACAGTAACTACTGTATTTTCAGAATATAAGTCTATCTAAAGTGTGGACCTTGAAGACACCTTTCTGAGTTTTCTAATGTTGGATTTATTGGAGTTAAGCATTTACTTAAATGCTGTGGCCTACTCATGATTAGAACACACACACAAACTAATAACTGAAAGTTATTTTAAAATGGAAAATTCCAAGCATCAACCAGAATTAAAGTCAGTCAGTTGTTACTGCCAAGGTGATCTTTCAACAGACAGTTTATATTTAAAAAATGCATTCTCGTGTAAATGTGTTTCCATGGGACAGAGAGATATTCAAGTTGCATATATTTATAGCAGTGTTTAAAAATTGCAAATAATTATATATGGATTTATGAGAATGAGTTCTTCAGTGATATACAAAGAATGACATGTATCAAGTGCTTTCTGAGTGTCAACAGTGTTTGCCAGAGATTGTGTGTAAATATTTATAATAAATGTTTAAATATACTTCTTGAACCACAAGAAATGGCCACACGAGAGTTCTTTACTGCAAATGGCTTCAATGTAAGTCTGCAACTCAAATTTAATGTTCCTGCTACTCAGTGGGATTAGCTGCTGGAAGGATTAATGTTGATAAAAATGGGACTGATCTTTAATTGTCATCAGAGTGTTTTAGCATGTAAAAAGATACCAAGATAGACATAAACTATTTTACTGCTGTACCCATGGTGCAATTGAGAAAAGCTGCTTAATTACTTGACTGTGTATTAACCTGTCCCCAAAAGCTATTAAATTGCCATCTGAAATGTGTTATGAAGTTCTGGTGGTAGACTTGGCGTGTGGAATATATAGTCATAGCCATTAAGAGTCACTAGTTGATAGCCTTGTTTTACATTTGCTCCAATCATTACCTGAAGTTATATGTCATCTTAAAGGTGCTAAGACATTGCAACAAACTCCTAAAAATGGTTGTTGTAGGTTTTTTGGGCTGTTTGGCAATGTTCTGGAGGTTGAGTATTTGTCAATCCTTGAACTGTCAATATTTGAAAATGACAAATTTATCAATATTTGAAAATGACAAATACTCAACTATCCCACACACTACACTAGAACACAGACAGAGTTCTAACTCCTGTCCTCTGAAGATGCCGGACACAGAGACTGGCGAAACCTTAGGAAGAAAAACCTCCAAAACACGGTCAAACAGCCCACAACGATCATCAGATCCTGGCCGTTAAAGCATTCAACAATACATTAAACTCCAAAAAACTGATGTGTGGGTAATAATAAAGTAAATATCACAGCAGTTTGCCTTTTAAGAAGTAAGGAACAGGCATAATTTTTAATATTTTCTGTCGCTTACTTGATCTTCGTGCATTAATGAAGTTTTGGCAACCTGTTTATCTGGTGTGAAAGGGTGTTTGGAAGATCTTTAGACCCCCCCCCTCACAGGATTTCTTTTTCATCTGACATGCTCACATCAGCAGCTAGGAATAGTATGACATTGTCAGACCCATGGCTTATGCACTAAAATCCATAATTGAAATCTCAGCTTGGCGATTAAATGTTGTGTGCTCCTGTCAGAAACTACTGGTATCCTGCCTCAGCCTTCTACCGTATATAGAAGAGAGTAACATTGGCACACCTTATAGAGTCTTGTCATAAGGATTACTGAAATAATTATGTGAAGTTTTTCGGCCTTTTTTTAAAGTGCTATTTTAATACTGTTGTTGTTTAGTCGTTTAGTCATGTCCGATACTTCATGACCCCATGGACCAGAGCACGCCAGGCCCTCCTATCTTCCACTGCCTCCCGGAGTTGGGTCAAATTTATGTTGGTCGCTTTGGTGACACTGTCCAACCATGTTATCCTCTGTTGTCCCCTTCTCCTGTTGCCTTCACACTTTCCTAACATCAGGGTCTTTTCCAGGGAGTCTTCTCATGAGATGGCCAAAGTATTGGAGCCTCAGCTTCAGGATCTGTCCTTCCAGTGAGCACTCAGGGTTGATTTCCTTCAAAATAGATAGGTTTGTTCTCTTTGCAGTCCAGGAGACTCTCAAGAGTCTCCTCCAGCACCACAATTCAAAACCATCAATTCTTTGGCGGTCAGCTCTCACTTCCATACATCATTACAGGAAAAACCATAGCTTTGACTATGTCACTGGTTCTTAACCTTGGGTTACTCAGGAGTTTTGGACTGCAACTCCCAGAAGCCTTCACCACCAACTGTGCTGGCTGGGGTTTCTGGGAGTTGCAGTTCAAAAACATCTGAGTAACGAAGGTTAAGAACCACTGGACTATGTGGACCTTTGTCAGCAAGGTGATGTCTCTGATTTTTAAGCTGCTGTTGAGGTTTGTCATTGCTTTCCTCCCAAGAAGCAGGCATATTTTAATTTCATGGCTGCTGTCACCATCCACAGTTACCATGGAGCACAAGAAAGTAAAATCTATCACTGCCTCCGTATCTTCCCCTTCTATTTGCCAGCAGGTGATGGGACCAGTGGCCATGATCTTGATTTCTTTGATGTTGAGCTTCAGACCGTTTTTTGCACTCTCCTCTTTCACCCTCATTAAAATGTTATTTAATTCCTCCTCACTTTCTGCCATCAGAGTGCATATCATCTGCATATCGGAGGTTGTTGATACTTCTGGTAATCTTAATTCCGGTTTGGGATTCTTCCAGTCTGGCCTTCCGCATGATGTATTCTGCATATAAATTAAATAAACCGGGGGACAATATACAGTCTTATCGTACTCCTTTCCCAATTTTGAACCAATCAATTGTTCCATATCCAGTTCTAACTGTTGCTTCTTGTCCCACATATAGGTTTCTCAGGAGATAGATAAGGTGGTCAGGCACTCTTTAAGGACTTGCCATAGTTTGCTGTGGTCCACATAGTCAAAGGCTTTTGCATAGTCATGAAGCAGAGGTAGATGTTTTTCTGGAACTCCCTGTCTTTCCCCATAATCCAGAGCATGTTAGCAAGTTGGTTGCTAGTTCCTCTGCCCCTTCGAAATCCAGCTTGTACTTCTGGGAGTTCTTGGTCCACATACTGCTGAAGCCTACCTTGGAGGATTTTGAGCATAACCTTGCTAGCGTGTGAAATGAGTGCAATTGTATGGTAGTTGGAACATTCTTTGGCACTGCCCTGGATTCATGAGGATTAGTTTTTGAAGTGCTAAGCACCCAGACTAGGCTGCAATCAGCTTCTAAAAAACCTAGGGAAAATGCTTAAATAAAACAACAGTTTTCCTGATGCAAAGAGAACTTAGTTCTTAGAAGCATTAAAATGGAGGCAGCTTTTCTATTTCTTGCTAATTAACCCATCTCGACTTTATTGCTGATTAGTATGACAGGCCATAAAAATAGCACTGCTTTATTCTCAATCTCAACATGGCTTTCAAATGGAATTGTAAGTGATGCATCAACACTGCTGACCTTCTGCATTTACTTCAAAGTACAAACAACACAAATGGAAAAATATGCATATATTACACTGTAAAGACAACACAGTTTAAAAATTATGCATCTCTTCATTAACCTTGGATAGAAACCCTGATTAGCAATGAACAGTATCTGACAGGCAGAAAATGAACAGATGCACTTACGACAAGGAGATGAATATAATCTCAACAAGGAAGGGAACAGCTTATTGTGCTACACTATTTCATATTGATAGTTTGAACTATGCACGTAAGATTAACTAAGCAAAATAAAATAGGTCATGCACAAACATGATGCAAATCCATGGAAGCATGCATATGAGAGAGATTCTTCACTATGTACAGTGTTAAATATATCTGAAAAGGGCATATGATTCTACATTAAATGTCAAAATGAGCAATGGATGAAAGATGCTGCTCAGTCCTTGGCATCAAACGAGGATAAAAGATTATGCTCATCAGTCTGCAAGCTTTCTGTCATTTTTGTATATTCAGTGTGCTAAATGGGGATGCCCTCCAATATTTTTCAGACAAAAACATTTTTGCGTGTGTGGAACATGAAAGTCGTTAACAATCATAGGAATGGTTTTAAGAAGCCTTATAGTCCCAGTGATAACTAGGGAGAGGGAAGAAAAGTTTTCAGACCAACTAAAATGGCTAAAGAGTTATATGGATCTAATGTGATTAAGAAATACAATTCACAAGAAGAAAACTCAGCAAACATCTGTTAAATATATAGAACTTATATACAGCGTGATTAGTCTTGAGAATATCAAATCTTGCCTGTAACATTACCAGGGGATTGTGAGGGTTCAGTTTTCGGGGCTGTCTGTTCTTCCAATAAAGGACGAGTCGGTTGAGGTAAATCAAAGGGTTCAGTATTTATTGCAACATCAACTCCAACAGGGTGCACCCCCAAAAAGGGGTTCAAAGATTCTTGCAACATATTGCTCGGTTTTAACGGGGTCCATAAACCATTTACAAAAGGGTTTGTTGTCTCTGGGTTCCAAGGTCCTGTTAATAACGGCACAGTCCCCTGCCCAGGGTCCAGTTCTTCGTCCAGGGATATCAACGGTAAAGTCTCTTCATCCCCGCTCCACTCACCCCAGGATGACCCGTCTCCCCCATCGACTCCCCAGGGGCCGGGTAACCCCCAACTTCCTCAATTCAGCTATATGCCATTGCTTCTTCCGTTCTAGCTCTCTGGCTACCGCTTCCCTTTCTTCCCGGAGCTTCCTCCTCCACTCCTTGGCTTCGGTCTGACCCCAATACGAAGGGCGAGGTTTCAGCCCAAGCTGGCGGCGTTTCTCCGCCTCCTCATGGGGGACTCGGACCTGCTCCCATTTGTGGGTCCAGGGATCCTCCATCCAGATCCACTCCCATACCCCCCGGGTCCCGGGGAAAGGGTTAACCCTTTCATAGTCGCCTCCAAGTCTCACGTATCTACCCCCTTATTCAAGGTAAGGGGTTTGGCGACCACTTGTTCCCAATCTGGGGTCTCCACGCCTTTCTCTTCCCGACGCGTTGGGGACGGAGGTGGGGATGTCTGTGTGTGAAGGGTTCTCTTCGAGAGCGACGGCAGTCCCACTAAGGCCTCCACTTTGGGGGCCTCACAGTGATAGCTCAGTGATTTAGGCAGTCCTTCTAAAGGCAGCCTATAAATGAGATAAATAAATAGGTATCTGGCTGCAGAACCAGAGGTTGGGAGTTCTATCTCCCACTGTTCCTCTTGGGAGAAGAGGCAGCCTGAGTAGTTCTGGGCAAGCTCCACAGTCCCAGGGCACCTTCAGAAGAATGGAATGGTTAACCACTTCTCAGTATTCTCTACCTAGAAAATCCTGGAAAGGGTCACCATAACTCAGAATTGACTTGACGGTAATTATTACTATTACTGTATTATTATTAGGAATGGGAAGTGGCCATAACTTTTACACATGATTAAGTAAATAAACCATTAAAAGCAAAAGCAAAGCGTGCTGCTTGTATACCGCCCCATAGTGCTTCATGCACTCTCTGGGCAGTTTACAAGTTAATTTTGCAGGCTACACAGTGCCCCCCCCCCCAGCAAGCTGGGTACTCATTTTACCAACCTCGGAAGGACAGAAGGCTGAGTCAACCTGGAGTCAGCTACCTGGGATTGAACCCCAGGTCGTGAGCACAGTTTTGGCTGCACTACCGTGGTTCAACCACTGCGCCACAAGGCTCTTCATTAAAAACAGCTGTATTGTTTTGTTTCAGCATATTTAAAGAATAAAGAGATATGGGTTACAGAGTAATAGTTTTGTTTCAAAGTGAGCTTTCATAAATTGAGAAAGTGAATTGTACTCCATGAAAATTCACAATGAAATAAATCTCTTAGTCTTTAAAGAACCACAAGATGTATCCTCTTTTTTTATTCTTTTCTGGCACATATATGAGGGATGATCTCAATCATGTGCTACATTACCTGGGAGTACTCCCAGCTATAGACAGTTGGAGATACTGTACTTTGTTGATTTTCTAACACTGTCAAACACAGACTTCAGGTTTTACTTTTAAATGCTCAAAGCAAGGCACACTCATTTCCAAGTTCACATACACAAAGCATACAGATGCACACCCTCACCCAGAAAAGAACAACACTCTTATTAGCCATTTTAATTCAACGCTGTCATCATTACTTAAGAACCTTTCCAGCCTGATTTGTGTTTGTTTGGAAATAATTCCTCAGAGTTCAGTGGGCCTGAATCAAAAGCAGGAACAAGTGGATTATAGATTTGACTGGAACGGAATGTCACATATATCAGTGGCATTTCTGTCCAAACTTAGAGCCCCATCCTATGGTGTAAATTTTTCAGATAACAGGAACATTTACATAAAATTTTAAGAGTGTCTTTCACAAACCTTGACTTGGGCATTAATGCCTCGGCTAAAAGAAAACAAACACTAAAATTACACTTACGAGGTAAGCCTAGATAAAAGGATTCCACAGTAAAATATCGTTGCAAGATGGATTGCATTCATCTTAAACGTTCCGTCATTGAGCTCTGAACGTTTACTTTTGATCTAAACTGGTAGGTTAATAATTTTGTTACACTTTGGAGTTAAGATGAGGCCCTCTTTCGTCACTGGGCGCTCTAGTATGCGGCCTCCACGCCCCACAAGGTATGGGATTTCTGCGTTACTTTTATGGATTTGTTACTAAATTGCCTAGATCGGAGCTAAAGGAAACAGAATGCTTGCATGCCCAACATCCTCGCTTCCAAATAAGAAAACGCATAACTTCCATATCCTTGCCACTAGAGGGCCCACTGCCCAAAGGCGGCGAACGCAGCAACAGCGCCTTGTGCCTGCTCTGAGGATCGAAAGCAGCCCAGAGCGCACGCGCTGCGGGTTGTGTGCGACGCGGTGACGTCAGACGCAGCCATTCTTTCGTCGAAGTGCCAACGGCGCGATTTTTCAAAATGGAACCTCGCACCGAGGGCGTTTCTCCCCGGCCCCCTTAGCGGGGAGGGAGAGGCCTGTGGATCGGCAGCGGGAGCGAGAGGCCACACCGAGTACCTGGCCATGCAGCCGTGATAAGGAGGCAACGAACTGAGGCGGGAAGGGCGAACTCCGCCGCCATGGCGACCTGTATCGGGGAGAAGATTGAGGTGCGGAAACGGGCCATTGAGCCTCCGGGAACGGGGAGGAGGAGGAGGAGTGGACCGGATCGAACCATTCGCCACCTGAGGGGGTGTCTCGGCCCAACCATATCTCAGTCGGGGGAAGGCAAGGGTTGCTGCTCTCCCAGTTCGTCCGGTCCAGCCTGTGTTGACAAGGGAGTCGGCGCTGGGGAGTGGGCGGAGTTCCAGGGATGCCGTGCACATTTTAAACGCCGTGCTCGGCCCCGTTTCTTTTCCTGCGCAAGAGAAGGTGGTTGCCTTCCCAGTCCCCTTCCATCCAGACCCGCAGGCAGGCAAAAGTGGACACCGTATGGGGCTCTTCTGCGTATATTTACTTGGAAGTAAGCCCCAGTCTGTTCAAAGGGGCTTACGTTGCAAGTAAGTATACATAGGACTGTAGCCCCAGAATACATGGGGTGTGGTTTTGCGATTGAAGTTGACAATATTCCCCACACTTACGGGGAGTAAGGCCCGTTCAGAGTAACAGCGCTTGGGACTGTGCTATAGAATGGGGGGGGGGGAGGAAGGAAGCCCCTTTAACCCACTGCAATAATATTTCTTTGCCACCTGCCAATGTTATACCGCAGAGGTGGGGAATATTTTGCCTTCTAGATGTTTTGGACGACAAATCTCCTAATCCCTTACCAATGACTAAACTGATTGGGGCTGGTGGGGAACATCTGGAAGGCTGCAGAAAGAAATTCAGTGGAAGGGCCTTTTTGTGTTCTTGCTTTTTTACTGTCATTGAAATCTTTACCTGCTGAATTGCTACTTGCTATGCAGTTTTTAAAAGTGATGGTTATTTACTGTGCCAGAGAAAAGTAGTAATTCTGAAAGGGCTGTCCAAATTCAGCTAGAGGACTGTGCTTCAGGCCCCAGCGAAAGGAGAGAGCCTCTGACATAGGTCCAGTGTACATCTGCTCACCCCATCATCACCTGTAGCCCCATAAAGCTTTTGCCTCTACACTTTAACTCTGTTGGCATGTTTAAGGTTTTAAAATCACTTTAATAACTTGGGTGCTTAAAAGTGTCCACGTTGCTTTAGAATGGATTCTAATCCGTATTAATACAGAATCAAGAAGATGAGTTTAGATGTATAGTAACACTCTCACTCAGCACCCATTTTTTGCATCTGTATTGCTATACATCCTTAAATGTTGTAGTTCCTGAAAGAAATTGAAAATGATATATGCTTGCATATCATCTACCCATGTTATTTATTCATGGTACATTTGTTGTAAAAGATCCCTTAATACATTGATGGTCAGGGGAACCTCCATAAGAGACTTCTAATTTACTAATCTTAACCTGATAGCCTGAAAATATAAACCACAAATGGCCAGATGATTGCCCCCCCACGCTTATAGCATCACAGTATGTTTGTTTGTAAGGATATGCTTTAATCTTATTTTGAAAATTTTGGCAGACTTGTTCAGATTAGGCTGTGAGCATGACAGTATGTATAAGAAAGAAAATTGCAGCCTTTCATTAAATACTTTTGTGAACCACCTGTTCATGTGATATTAATATTACCTTCGGTAACACCACATCTGTGCAATCTGTAATTCTAGAAGCAATATACCTCAGGAAGATTCTCATTAGTAAAATAAATAAGCTGGCTGCCTAGAACAGTTGAACAAACCAGTAGGAATGGTTTACAGCAGTAGTAAACTTTACCATGTTATATTTTTGTTCATGCTGCCCAGAGGAAAAAGCAAAATTTGCCAAAACTAGCTCCTGAGCAGCAAGAGTTTGCATGCCTCACAACCTGATATTTCCCACAGAATTACTGTGGGAAGTGTGCAGAATCTGTAAGCCTCCAACTTTCATCAGCACCAGCCAGCATCACCAACAACAAAGAACCATGGAAGTTATAGCCCCATAACACCAGGAGGTTCACAGTTCTTTCATCTCCCCTGTGGAATGGCTTTGTTTACATTTAAGATACCACGGACTGTCATACTGAATTTGGAGTATCCCTTCTTATGTCTGACTAAACTATGTTTTATGCTAGTGGTAGTGTGTATATATCTATTGGATAATGCTTTTTATAGTTGATGTTTTACTTGACTATCTAAACTTAAATCAAAGTGAATACAAACTTTGACTTAAAAGACAAACAAGTTAATCTGAGAATATTTCCATAAGTGTGAATTGTGAAAAAGCAGGAATACTGTGTTCAGCAGAACTGTGTGAATACTCTGAGAGTATATGTGAATACTCTGAGAGATTGAGGCTGTAAGCTTACTTGGAAACCTGGGTCACAAAAATTAATGGAGCCAATTTCAGAGTAAATATGCATAGAGCCAACGTACAGACCTGAAGATTTATGCACATTTACTTGAGATTAATGCATACTATGCATTCTGAACCATAATAGCCTTCAAGTAAATATGCATAACATGGTTTAGTATATATAACTGGATCTTTACCACTTACTGTATTCCAACAGTAAACCAAGGTCCAACAGGTTTTATGATTTATTCTAAAATGAACTGTTACGTGAAAGGTGGCTTCAATAAAATGTAAAACTGATATATGAAATTGAAATTGGCGAACTATGGTTTTTCATATTGCAAAAAATGGTCCTTTTAAAAGTACATTAAAGAATCTGAGGTAGGAAATGTTTGTCAGTGAGTCAGCAAATGTTTTTCTCTCTTATAGAAGTCTTTAATTTTAAAGTAGGCATTCTTATCTGCAGTTATTTTGGAAAAGAGGAGGGAAGCTTTTGAAGGAAAGTTTTCATATGCCCAACGGAACGGTGTCCTTCTTTGCAAAATCTTGAATGATGATACTGTAGCAATGATGCATATTTGAGAAAGTTAGCATCAGCACCTGCAGTAAAAACTATCTCACTGCCAGTGATCAAATCAGAGCCTCACAACTGTTAAGGGATGAACTTTGCTTTCTCACTTGTGTATATTGATGCCACACATACACCAGCCAACATTATTAAGATTCTAACAGTTGTTCAAATGATCACTAAAGCCTAATATTTCTACTATTGAATTTTCCCTTGATTAGCTTAAGCAAGCAATGATTTAGCTTATACAGTATTCTGCAGAGACAGAGCTCCCCCAGCAATTTGGTTATGTCACTCTTGCAGTGGTGTTTCTTGAGAAAATGGAGTGATATAAAGTATTGCTAGTGTTTACTTAAGTTTGATTTGATAGTTAATTGTGTTAACCTAATCATAGGAAGTCCTAGATTACGTTTACGTGTTCTTCATAGACTTGTAAAAGTTCTTGTCAATCACTCATAAGTATGAACTGGTACAGCAGAATTTTACAATGCTCCTCAATCTTGCTGTTAAGAGTTGGTGGTTGCACTTAAGCAAATAAACACAACTCTAATATTAAGATTCTGTTGTTTTCTACCCAAACTGTATAGTAACATTTTTAGTAATTTACCTTGTAATTTCAGCTTGAATCTGGCTCTTACGCTAACAATTGAGTTCGAGGAAAAAACTGTAATTTGGCAGATGGAGTTGTCTGATGAACTAAGTTGGCTAATGAAATCAAAATGCCAAGATGACCCATTTCTGCCTAATATACCGTGCCTGAAATCCTATTGCTCAGCCTAGTAAGTCTCAGGTGGAGTAGGCCCATTGATTCTGTAGAACGTACAGAAGAGGTGACTCATAAAATAGCTCAGTGGTTTAGGTATCAGAGCTTGGGAGTTTGATTCCCCACTGTGCCTCCTTGACAGGACCAGCATCTAAGATTATTATTATAAATCCACACTGATTCAGTGGGTCTACTTTTTAAGATTATTATTATAAATCTACACTGATTCAGTGGGTCTACTTTATATAATAATAATCATCTTAGCTGGAAGGAACACTGTCCATCAAAATCGAGTCCATGTCAAGGAGGCACAGCAGAGAACAGAACTCTCTGCCTCTGGTTCTAGCAGCCAGATATCTAAACCCCTGAGCTATCCAGCAGTTCTTTAGTTGTGATTTGTTATGATAAGCACCAGGATTTCCGCCAATATATTGCTTTCTTGCTTTACAGTATACTCTAGCTCATATTGTTGCAATTCTACATAATTGTAACATACGCAGTCGTTTAAAATTGGAGATGAACTGCGTATAGTTTAAAGCAGCACCAGCCCTCTAAAACGGAAACAGACGGTTCTCTCCCAAACTATAGAAGAATAGCATTAACTGACAAAGCCCACCTCGAAACAAGCTCTTCATGCATATGCAGTTTTGCCCGGTTTCTGAAATGTCTTTTCGAGAGACATTTAGGCAGTTCCTTGTGTTGGAGAACTGCATGCTCTAGAGCAGAGAAGTTTCTCCAAGTGAGAACAACAAGCCCTTGCTTTAGGTGTATCTACAGCTGTAGGAACACGTATAACCGCGTCTGTCGTGTGGCAGGTGCCAACGTGCCCGCGTTTCCTCGGAGACAAGCCGCGGTCTGGTCGCTAGGGCTCCTTCCCAAGTCGCTGGGAATGGGCTTGCGCTTTTCTGGGCTTCTCTGCGCGGCGGCAAGAGCGGGACGGCCCGCGGGGGCATGGCCGTCTGCTCGCTAGGCTGCTATGGCAGCGGCGTCTCCCCTGGGGGCGGGAGAAAAGGCGGCAGGGCCATTCGTCGGCCCGCGCCCCGCGGCTGTCCCTCAGTGGGTGCGAGCCTCTCTTTCTCAGGATGCCACAGTGGCTTCTCAGCCTCCTGCTCTCTCCCTTGCCCAGCGACGGCACTTTCGCCGCCGCCACCATGCCGCCCTGCTGCCCGTGGGAGACTTCCATTCAGGTAAAGCCGCCGTCTTCCCTCAGCCGCCGCCAGGTCTTCCTTCGCTCTTCCCGCCTCCGCCGCCTCGTTGCCCTCGATTTGCCTGAGCGTGCCTGTTCCGGGGCAGCTGGAGTTTCCAGCCCCCCAAATTCGTGCAGGTTTCCTCCAAAACACACACAACAAAAACAACCTGGATGCTAACATTTGGGGGCGTTGTTTTTGGTGACGAGAGAAAAGGACAGGGGTTGAGCAAAGCAAGAAAGTTCAGTCAGATAAAGCTGAACCATCTAATGGGGGGGGGGCTGGCTTTTAAAGTCGTTGTGACAAAGTCAGAGGAGGAAATGTTTACTTCTCTGCACTGTAGCTCTCTGTGTTGGCTGCGGGATTCTGGGAATTGTAGTCCAACAGAGTAATGTGCCCCAGTTCTGGAAGACGTTAGGAACTGTGGTAAGGTAGCACAACTGAACTAAACTTGCATCCCTTAGATACTCTGTTGCTCCCTTGGCTGGGACGTCGCTAGGGGTAGCGCATTGGTACCTCTACGAATGGGGGAAATTTTTACTTACGAAAGTGTGTAGAGTTATCAACTGGATGTGTTGTGGAGACCAAAGAAAAAAGGATGGTGAAGGCACTAAAGTCCTGTAAGAGGACAGTTCAGGTGTGAATCATGTACAGGCAACTGAGAGGCATGTATTTTTGTTTTCTTTTTTCTTTTTTTACTGTTTTTTGAGATGGGAAACAGAAGCTAGCCTGGCTTGGTTCTTATTCCATCTTCTACTGCAAACCCATTGCAATGTGGAACAAGTCTTTCCTCCTACATTAGTATGATATACTTCAAGCTGATCTCACAATTTTCTGTTCAAAATCTTTCCTTGTGGCTTTCTTGCTTGGGATCAGGAATTTAACTTAAACACACTAGTTGAATCACAAGGGAAACTGTTATAATAGGATTTTTCCCACAGTATATTGTCTTCTACTACAAGTACCTGGTTGGAGAATTGTTGATAGAGTGTACTAAATTTTTCAACGAAAAAGCCAAAAATAAGGGTTGGCTACATCTTTATTAGACCAGCTGAATGAAGAGTCCTGCAAGACTTAAGTGCTTGCCTGTTTCTGAGATTTTAGTGGTATAATAAAGGTACTGTCCATCCTCTTCTTAAAAATGTTTAGTGACTGAAACTTGCCTGTGTACACAGAATAGAGGAACATGTAACAATAGTAACAAATTTCTTTTTCTCTCTCTCTCAGGATTTCAAAGTAGGGAACCTTCTGGGTAAGGGCTCCTTTGCAGGAGTCTACAGAGCGGTATCCTTGAAAACAGGCCTAGAAGTGGCCATCAAAATGGTAAGTACAATTGGACCAGACCAGGTGTAATTAGGGAGCCAGAAGACAAGGGAGAGTATGGAGTGCCAAACTACTGGTGAAAAGGGCATGGGATGCAGCCCAAAATATTCATGGCCCTTAATCTAATAAATATCACGTTTCCCTTCCTGATGTGTTAAATTGTGACAGTTTTCTTCAGTTCCTGATTTTCTTAACTTACCTGGTAATTTGCAACTCAGATTTCAAAGGTAGCTTTCTACTGTATGTATAGTCAAGTACCTTTTTTGCCATACTTAGCTGTGCAAAAATAATGTAAATAGACACTAGAAATCTCAGACCTCAACCCAGTTTACTTCATATTGGAAGGGCTTGATCATGAAAATGGTGCTGCAAAAGTGAATAGTTTTTTTTTCTTTATGAGTTCTCAGCTTTCAGGATGAGGATTTTTTTTTACCTCATTAGCTAATTACATATGTCAATTTATTGCTCATTATGTTGGTTGCATTGTTTGGCCTCTTAGGTTTAAAAAAAAATCCTTTGCCAAAGAGAAAGGCCCAAGCAGTCTGGGCTAGACATTAGCCAGAACAGCCACTGGTGAGAGCTAATAAGAGTCAATCAATATGCAAAAGCTTCCCCCACCTGCTGTTGTTGTTTGTATTTTGAAGGAAGCTGCTGTTGGCACCAGTTGTAGCTTAACCTGACATAACTATCAGCTTGTTGATGATTTTTGTTGAGACTACAATGTAGATAGCAAGGGATAAAAATACCCTTGCTCTGAATTGCAATCAATTAATCAAACAATCAATGTATGAGCTCAAAGCATAAAATATGATTTATTTTTCAGATTGACAAAAAGGCCATGCACAAAGTTGGAATGGTGCAGAGGGTTCAAAATGAAGTGAAGATACATTGTCAACTAAAACATCCCTCCATACTTGAGGTAACTATTTACATGAATGTGTAGAAACATTTATAACTGAGCTTCAATTTAGTCTAATATTAACTTTTTCTTTGCTAGCTATATAACTACTTTGAAGATAGTAACTACGTGTACCTGATATTAGAGATGTGTCATAATGGAGAAATGAGCAGATATTTAAAAACCAGAAAGAACCGTTTCTCTGAAGAAGAAGGTAAGGTTGAAATATGTTTGTTGTACACACTTTGAATCAGTATGCCAGGTTGGGATAAAAAAAGAGCTATTTCATGATATAGCAAATGAGATTTTCTTATTTCTTTGAATAGTTAACTTTTATATCTGTAGCACAATCCTGTTGACTGTTTTTTTTCACAAGTATAAGAGAAATGGTGTAAATCGTGGTGACAAATTGCCTCAAGTTAAGAAGTTAGTGTTGGCATTTGCTGTTGAGTGCTGAGTTGCGCAACTCAGTGAAAATGCCTACAATAACTTCTTAACTTGAGGCAATTTGTCACCAAGATTTACACCAACTTCATTATTCTGGCAAGTATAATCAACAGGATTTGGGCTAGTACTTTCCAGAGTTTAATTTTATTTCCATAAGTGGTTTACTGTGTTGGATGAAGGCTAATTTTTGAGAAAAACAGTTCCACAACTAACTGGCTTGTGAAACTGACTGTGATGTGCTTTGGTTAACAGAATTCCTAGAAATACAAGCCAAAATCATATTGGTAATTTATGTATGTATAAATGAAATATTATAAGTTGCAGTGACAAATTGCCTCTAATTAATGACATACAGGTTTTATTACTGGTTGTGTAAGAAGCATACAGCTGGGAACATGACTGGCATGTTAATTAATGGCAATTTGCCACTGCAATATAAGCAATCTTGTGTTTGAATAAAGATATGTGTTTCTTCCGGAACTGAGACTGATATATTTGTAGGGGATGTAACAGCATGTGTTGTATTAAATTCATGTATAAACTGTAAGTGCTTTTTAAATGCTTTGCTCTTGGCTTTATTAATTTGTAGCTTAAATGTGAGAAGCATCTCAGTTTCTGGATTGCAATACTGGCCTCATTCACACAAAGAGATAAACCAAGGTTTTCTAGTATCCTGACTTAGTGTGAACCAGTTACATACTATTGCACACAGCCTCTTCGGTCCCAATTTTCTGTCCTTGCTAGCACAGCCGGGTGGACAAATCAATAATGTTTGTTTAGCACCTTGGCTGCACCTGGCTTCTGGGCTTGGCATTCCTTTTACAAGCCAGGATTTAAAGATGAAGAGCAAAACTGTGGTTTGCAAAGAGACAAATTATGACCAATGTGGAGAATATGTTAAACAAAATAGCCTTGTTTTGCTTAGCTAATCATGCTGCAAGGAAAAGCCAAACAGGACTGAACAAATTATCTGTAGTATCCAGTTTATTCATAGCAAATTAAGATTATCTGGGATTTTGGTGTCTCCTTTTCTGAGAATGCGGCAAAAGTGCCACTAGATGTCTTCATAATAAGAAACAGATTTGGTAAAAAAGTTTAAAGAGATGATAGTAAAGATACTTTTTGACTTTTCCTCCCATTCTGATTTCATGCAGTTCGGCATTTCATGCATCAGATTATTACAGGAATGTTATATCTCCATACTCATGGCATACTGCATCGGGATCTCACACTGTCTAATCTGTTACTTACCAACAACATGAACATCAAGATTGCTGACTTTGGGCTTGCAACCCAATTGAAAATGCCTCATGAAAAACATTACACAATGTGTGGGACTCCTAATTATATTTCTCCTGAAATAGCCACAAGAAGTGCCCATGGACTTGAATCTGATGTATGGTCATTGGGGTGCATGTTTTATACACTTCTGACTGGAAAGCCACCTTTCGATACTGACACAGTAAAGAACACCTTGAACAAAGTAGTGTTGGCAGATTATGAAATGCCAACATTTTTGTCAGTAGAAGCTCAAGATCTTATTCAACAGTTACTTCGCAAAAACCCAGCAGATCGTTTAAGCCTTTCATCTGTATTGGATCATCCTTTCATGTCAAAATCTAGCTCAGCAAGAAGTAAAGACCTGGGAAATGTAGAAGATTCAATGGACAGTGGAAATGCCACAATTTCTACAGTGTCTCCCAGTGTCAGTACAAGTAGCAGCTTTAGGGAAAAGAAAAGACTTTTAATGGGACAACCACTTCCCAACAAAATAACCATTCTTCCCAAAAATAAAACTGCTAATGATGTCTTATCTGGTTGTGGAAGCATATCTCACAATAGTTGGGGACTTCCAGGAAAAGAAACTGGCAATATTGGTAGAGGAAGAACAATGCAGTCAATTGAAGAAAGACCACATTCACGCTACCTCAGAAGGGCACACTCCTCTGAAAGATCGAGTGCATCCTGTAGCCAGAATCAAGGAGAATCAAGTCATGTGGAAAGATCACATTCCATGGAAGTCCTCCCAAAGTCTAGGGGAGGGCTAACAGAAAGCAGGAAGGACTTTTCGCCTGCAAATAGCAATTGTGATATTTCTACTGTATTTAAAGAAAAGCTTACCACTACTGGCTCTGGCTCAATGGAAAAGCAACTTTCTCCACCAGTGAAGGATCAAACTAGGTAAGAATCTGTCTTATAACTGTTTTTAAGATAGTTGTAAAATTGCATAATGGCCTCATCTACAGTAATGCCAAATAATGGTTCAGTGTTACATAAATGAGCCCTTTGTTATTTACCTTCTCCCTTCTGAGCACTTGCAACATGAGACTTGTTTTCAGTTTAATTTACCACAATTAGCCTCTAACCATTAGATCTTTGACAAATTGTTATTCAATTTTAATTGCAATTTAGAAAACAAGGTAACTGCTTTAATAGCATCAGATATTAAGAGTATTTTTATCTGAAATAAACCTATTATTTATATTAAATGGAGGAAATTTATTGGCCAGAATCCTGCTGGCAAATGACCATGCCTAAGGGAAAATGTGTAAGTGTTGGTGGCAAATTCCTACTCGTTAATTAGGTACTAGTTGCTTTCCATGTTTTGCCCTTGATCACGTGATCAGGCATATGCTCAAAAACTCAACCAGCACTCGTTAGCAAGGTTTATGCTGTTTCCTTTATGTGGGTGTAAATTCCCAGCCAGTATCTGTGTATATGCTGTTTTTTTAGTAATCAAACTATTGGAATGAAACATATTTCTCTTTAAGTCTTTCTTGTTTTTCTGAAAAGTACTTACACATTTCTTTCTTTTTAGTTCAAATTATCTTTGCCCAATGAAGCCCAATGTTGGTTTATTAGGACTGAAGCCCCAAACAGAAATAATGCATCAGTGGCTTGGGAATATGCAACTCAATGGTATGGATTTATTTAATTAGAGTTTTTTAGTGTGAGTGTTGGACACAAATGGGCTCTATCTACAACAAATCCATCTTATGTGCACAGCTTGCACCGTTACTGTGACTGTATCCAAAAGCAGTGGCATAGTCTGAAAGATTATAAAGGGAGTTCCTTGTAGACTGATTATGCTACTTGTTATTAATAGATATTTTTATGTTTTGAGGATTCATATAAAATGAAATGTAATTTATTTTTTGAAAATAAATTTCCAAAATTTGTTTCCATTTTCTAAATTTCCAAAATTTGTTTTCGTTCTGCAATTTATGTTTTATGAAAGTAGAAAATTTTCATCTTGAAACACCTGAATTACCTGTATAGAATGAAAACAGCAAGTGATTGCTAGCCAGAAGGGTAGGATTACCACCAGAAGGGGAGTGGGGAAAAAAAGAATAGGAGCAGAAGGGAAGGAGGAGCTTCCTTTCCTGTGCATCATATTACATCATATACTGAAAGATTACAGGATGCAGCAGTAATTTAGGCAAGGACCACTTAAATGTTTTCAGATATTGTCTTTTTGTTTTGAATTGCTAGGAATCCCTTAGGGAATTGTAATTTTAGGAAAACAGTTGGGATTATTTGAATCCTCACTTTATTTTCTTCTTTATTTTTGTTTAATTGTCCTGGCACTTTGGCAGAAGGGCTGTATAATTCAGCCACATATCTGAACAGATGTAGCATTGTTTTTATCCATGTACAAATTCTTTAATTCACCACTCCCAAACCATCTGGCTGCACTGGAGACAAGAACTCTAAACACAGTGTTTAATTTCTACCAGTATGGCTAAGTTTGAACTACTGTACACAGATAATAAATTCAGAAAGCAAAAAATTAAACTTAAACAAATCTGGTAAATATTTCTGCATGTTGTTTCTAATTGTTGGATTTGAAACTATGTAGAGAAAAAGGTTGTGTGACACAATACCTGGTTTACTAGATATATAATGCTGGGAACATCCTCGTTATGCAGGTGTAAGATAAAATTATGTCATAAATTAGGCCTGGCAACAAGGAATTATACAACTCAGTTATTTAATGTGGTAGCAGAAGAGTGCTTCCTGGATAGTACTTCCACTTCAGTGCTATGATATAGCTTACTGCAGGTGCAGTGTTGAATTGTATCCACGTAGTTACACATCAGGATTTTGCCCAATGGCTGAAATCCTGTTACTTAGTATAGTAAGTTGCAAATAGAGTAGGCCTGTTTAAACAATGGCTTCAGCTTCTCCATAAGTTCCATTGAGTCACTGGGCCTATTCTAGTTATGACTTAGTATGCTAAGTAACAGGATTTCAGCCAATAAATGTAAATTGATGATGTAGTTTATTTAAAAGTAATACTTCCAACTTGTGTGCCAGATCCTGAAGTAAATAAAATGAGATAGTGTTTAATGCTTGAAAGGTCTAACTAGCATTGCCTCTTTTTAGAAACAAGTTCTCTCCTGTAATTGCTGAGAAGAGACCTGTAAATGAATTTTCAAAATCATTTAAAAACTTTTTTTCTCATTTTAGCTCAGATGGCAGAACCTTCATATAACACAAATAGGAATTTTCCATTCCATCTTAGTGTGCCTCAAGAGCCAGTGAAAAGTGCATGGAATGTCTTGAAAGGCAAAAATTCTCCTGATTGCACACAGTCAGTTGTGGGACCACTGGACACAAAGAAAAGCACCTCTGGATTTCCTGCATTTGATCTCCATCTAGTTCCTGAAATCACAAAAAAAGGAGGCAAAGAGCCACAATACAGACACCCAAAATCTACCCTGCGAAGTACTGTATCTCCTCTGAGTGCTCAAAGATTAAAAACAATCAGGCAAAGAACAAAAAATGCAGTGGTATGTGCTATGTTCTATTTCAGAATAAGAATAGGAGTCTTTACATGTTGTTAAGGAATTACAATGAAATTGATGTATTAAAATGATCAAATTTTTAAATACTTACATAGGGCTAAATGCAGTTTTCAATTCATATGAGACTAGATCCATTGAATGAATGGGATTTGTTAACCAACGTTTATGCAAGTCAAATTAATAGTCGGACTGACAATTGGATCTTGCCCATATTAGAACTGTGTCTGATTAATGTCAATTTTCTGTATTTGGCACTACAATCCCAGGCATTTAGCCACTTAAAGATTCATAATTAGGGAATGTTCCAGTGTCCTCTCTGTTGTTTTTAGATGTATTGATGCGTGCAGTGATTTGCCCAGCTAAAATGTGTACCTGCTCCTGACAAGAACAACAGTCAGCTAGATCTTATCAGATTGCTTTCTGTCTTTATTGCGGCACAGACATCCTATAAAAAAATCTTGTCCTCTGCATTTTAGGGGGACTAATTTTCTAACATCACTGAGGCACAAAGCTAATGACTATCCAGCATCAGCAGTAAGTCTGCTGTTGTGTTTTACAACTTTAGTGACCAATTGTTTAACTAGTTTCACTTGACCAAATTCCCAATGAGATCACTACTTTAAGATTTTTTTTTGTCTAAAATGTCACTTAAGACAAATTATATACAACACTTTCTTGAGTGTAATTTATTTGATGCCATAGAATGTGAGAAGTTGTAAGGTGATACTGGTTGGAAATAGTTTTATTTTTATCTTGTTTTGATTTGTTTATTATTGTAAACTGCTCAGAGTAGTACTTCAGCACTAATGGGGAGCAGTATACAAATTTAAATAAATAAATATGTTCATCCGTAAAACTATTCTGTTGGGAAATGTGTAAGCTTTTGATAATGTATTATTTAATGGAAATATATTTTAATTACAGACTACTTCCATGTCAGTCACTGAATTTTAAGTTTGTCAGTTCTTAATTTTAAATTAACTTTGCCATTGATTTGACCTAAACTTAGGCACTTGCAATTAACCTGGGAGAAGTAAAGTCCCACGTCCCCTCCTTTCTACAGCTTTCCTGTCATTGCTCTGTTAGTGATAAAATGCAGGGTTAGAGGACTCTACTGAATAGGGTATGCAGTGGAGTGAAAATCTTCTGCCAGCAGAAGGTAGATCCAACTCCAGGCTTTTCTGCCAAAGTATTCCTGT